AAAATTAGAGAAAATATATTAATTCAGGAAAACTTGGCTTATTAGGCAAATTAGGTCTTGCATAGTAGGCTGAGAAGTGCGTTCTGGCTACTAGTTACGACATATATATATATATATATATATATATATATATATATATATATATATATATATATATATATATATATATATATATATATATGCCGAAAATCCACATAGAAATATGAAATGAGGTGAACGTTTCGGCTTGTTAAAGCCTTTGTCAACACCAGACTGACTAAGGAGAAGGGATTGATGATTGATGAAGATTAAGCCACCCAAGAGGTGGCACGGGCATGAATAGCCCGTAAGTGGTGGCCCTTTCGAGCCATTACCAGTATCAAAAGATGATACTGGAGATCTGTGGAGGCGCAACTGCACCCTGCGTGACGGGAGATGTCTCCCGGACCAAGTGGTGACCAAATGGTGAAGGAGAAGGGATTGATTGATTGATGAAGATTAAGCCACCCAAAAGGTGGCACGGGCATGAATAGCCCGTAAGTGGTGGCCCTTTTAACATAAGAACATAAGAACAAAGGTAACTGCAGAAGGCCTATTGGCCCATACGAGGCAGCTCCTATTCTATAACCACCCAATCCCACTCATATACTTGTCCAACCCGCGCTTGAAACAATCGAGGGACCCCACCTCCACCACGTTACGCGGCAATTGGTTCCACAAATCTACAACCCTGTTACTGAACCAGTATTTACCCAAGTCTTTCCTAAATCTAAACTTATCCAATTTATACCCATTGTTTCGTGTTCTGTCCTGTGTTGATACTTTTAATACCCTATTAATATCCCCCTTGTTATGTCCATTCACCCACTTGTAAACCTCTATCATGTCGCCCCTAACTCTTCGCCTTTCCAGTGAATGCAACTTAAGCTTTGTTAATCTTTCTTCATATGAAAGATTTCTAATTTGGGGAATTAACTTAGTCATCCTACGCTGGACACGTTCAAGTGAATTTATATCCATTCTATAATATGGCGACCAAAACTGAACTGCATAATCTAAATGGGGCCTAACTAGAGCAAGATATAGCTTGAGAACCACACCAGGTGTCTTGTTACTAACGCTGCGATTAATAAATCCAAGTGTCCGATTTGCCTTATTACGAACATTTATGCATTGATCCTTTTGTTTTAAATTCTTACTAATCATAACTCCCAGATCCCTTTCGCAATCCGACTTCGCAATCACAACACCATCTAGCTCGTATCTTGTAACTCTATCATCATTACCTAACCTCAGAACTTTACATTTATCAGCATTAAACTGCATCTGCCAATCCTTTGACCATTTCAAAACCCTATCTAGATCAACTTGAAGTGATAGTGAGTCCTCCTCCGAATTAATTTCCCTACCGATTTTCGTATCATCGGCAAATTTGCAAATGTTGCTACTCAAACCTGAATCTAGAATTTGAATTGAGGTTTGCTACTCAAACCTTAAGCCATTACCAGTATCAAGAGCTGATACTGGAGATCTGTGGAGGTGCGAATGCACCCTGCATGACGGGAGATGTCTCCCTTGTGAATGTGTTAAGATGAAGATGAAGCAACCCAAAAGGTGGCACAGGCATGAATAGCCCGTAAGTGGTGGCCATTTTGAGCCATCACCAGTATCAATAGATGATACTGGAGATCTGTGGAGGTGCGACTGCACCCTGCGTGACGGGAGATGTCTCCCGGACCAAATGGTGACCAGATGGTGAGGAGAAGGGATTGATTGATTGATGAAGATTAAGCCACCCAAAAGGTGGCACGGGCATGAATAGCCCGTAAGTGGTGGCCCTTTTGAGCCATTACCAGTATCAAAAGCTGATACTGGAGATCTGTGGAGGTGCGAATGCACCCTGCATGACGGGAGATGTCTCCTTTGTGAATGTGTTAAGATGAAGATGAAGCCACCCAAAAGATAGCACGGGCATGAATAGCTCGTAAGTGGTGGCCCTTTTGAGCCATTACCAGTATCAATAGAAGATACTGGAGATCTGTGGAGGCGCGACTGCACCCTGCGTGACGGGAGATGTCTCCCGTGATGAGAGGAGAAGATGATGATGATGATGAAGATTGAGCCACCCAAAAGGTGGCACGGGCATGAATAGCCCGTAAGTGGTGGCCCTTTTGAGCCATTACCAGTATCAAAAGCTGATACTGGAGATCTGTGGAGGTGCGAATGCACCCTGCATGACGGGAGATGTCTCCTTTGTGAATGTGTTAAGATGAAGATGAAGCCACCCAAAAGATAGCACGGGCATGAATAGCTCGTAAGTGGCGGCCCTTTTGAGCCATTACCAGTATCAATAGATGATACTGGAGATCTGTGGAGGTGCGACTGCACCCAGCGTGACGGGAGATGTCTCCCGTGTTTTAAACAGATGAAGAAGATGAAGATGAAGCCACCCAAAAGATGGCACGGGCATGAATAGCTCGTAAGTGGTGGCCCTTTCGAGCCATCACCAGTATCAAGAGCTGATACTGGAGATCTGTGGAGGTGCGAATGCACCCTGCATGATGGGAGATGGTCTCCCTTGTGAATATGTTAAGCCGCCCAAAAGGTGGCACGAGCATGAATAGCTCGTAAGTGGTGGCCCTTTTGAGCCATCACCAGTATCAATAGATGATACTGGAGACCTGTGGAGGTGCGACTGCACCCAGCCTGACGGGAGATGTCTCCCGGTGGTGATGAGGAAGAGAGAGAGAGAGAAGATTAAGCCACCCAAAAGGTGGCTTGGGCATGAATAGCCCCTAAGTGGTGGCCCTTTTGAGCCATTTCCAGTATCAATAGATGATACTGGAGATCTGTGGAGGTGCGACTGCACCCTGCGTGACGGGAGATGTCTCCCGTGAGACTGGAGGAGAAGGGATTGATTGATTGATGAAGATTAAGCCACCCAAGAGGTGGCACGGGCATGAATAGCCCGTAAGTGGTGGCCATTTCGAGCCATTACCAGTATCAAAAGATGATACTGGAGATCTGTGGAGGCGCAACTGCACCCTGCGTGACGGGAGATGTCTCCCGGACCAAGTGGTGACCAAATGGTGTATCTTCTTGATTGATTGATTGATGAAGATTAAGCCACCCAAAAGGTGGCACGGGCATGAATAGCCCGTAAGTGGTGGCCATTTTAAGCCATTACCAGTATCAAGAGCTGATACTGGAGATCTGTGGAGGTGCGAATGCACCCTGCATGATGGGAGATGTCTCCCTTATGAATGTGTTAAGATGAAGATGAAGCAACCCAAAAGGTGGCACGGGCATGAATAGCTAGTAAGAGGTGGCCCTTTTGAGCCATCACCAGTATCAATAGATGATACTGCAGATCTGTGGAGGTGCGACTACACCCTGCGTGACGGGAGATGTCTCCCGTTTGAATGTGTTAAAATGAAGATGAAGCCACCCAAAAGGTGGCACGGGCATGAATAGCTCGTAAGTGGTGGCCCTTTTGAGCCATCACCAGTATCAAGAGCTGATACTGGAGATCTGTGGAGGTGCAAGTGCACTCTGCGTGACGGGAGATGTCTCCCATGAATGTGTCCAAGATGACGATTAAGCCATCCAAAAGGACGGGCTGAGCAATGAACGCAGTCGGGTCATAATCAACTGGTCCTGGGTTCGAGTCCTAGGCAATGACGTTTGAGACACATTTGCCTAAACCTGATGCTTCTGTTCACCTACCGGTAAATAGGTAACCGGGATACTTATTCAACTATTGTGGCATGCATCATGGGGACCTACCTAACCAGTCGTTGGCAAGGGGACCCTCCATAAGAATAATTGTCATCCTGTCTCCTGACAAATGAGCCCAACCTGTTGCGACACGACGGCCAAGATTAGGGTTGGGATTGGTAATGCTGGAGTCCACTTCCTGGTGGTCCGGACAGCAGTCTCTCGACTTACTAATCCGTAAAGACGTATTAAGTCGGAAGATAGCTTGAGTGTCCGTTTTCAATGGTCCACGTTCAATGTTACGTTTTCTATGGTTTGTTTTCAATGTTCCGTTTTCAATGACATGTTGCAACATCGTTTGGAACAAGATATCAAGGAAGCTCCCGCCAGTTCCAGCTATTTCCACTTTATCATACAAATTACAAAGCATATTCAGGATTAATAGACTAATAATAGACAATAAACTTAGCTCTAAAAATAGTAAAATATATTTACATTAGCAGCCCAAGGATATACTACAGAGTATTAGATTTATTTTGATATTAAGTATTATCACATTTACTCCCTGCGTGCTGGAAATAGTGTGACTTATTTTCCGGGAAACGACGGTTATTGGCGGGAAAGGTGCTGGTGTTGGCTATAGCGTCATCTGGTCAAGCCATACGCCACAAATACGCCAAATCCCAGTAATGATTTCTCTAAATGGCTATTGGGCAGTGAATAGAAGTGAATTGGGTAATCTTGTTGCAATTATTTTCTGACAAGGCCACTCTTGCAGCCTGATCCTATCCGTAAAATAAGAGTGGGACTACTTGGTGGGAACCAATCAGCTATTGTGTTTACATGCCTCCACCCAATCAGCAGATATGTTTACCCCCAAGTAACCAATCAGCTATTGTGTTTACATGCCTCCACCCAATCAGCAGATATGTTTACCCCCAAGGAACCAATCATTGAACAGGGGAACTTGCCAAAAACCAATCAGCAGGAGAGTTTACTTGCTGGCAATAAATAAAAAATGCTGAGGTAGATCGTGCGGAAATAGCATATTTGCATAGCCAAATATGATCGCTATTATAATTTTGAAGCTACATTAATACGTGGCTTTCCTAATTGATGACCAAGAATGGTGTCTAACTATTATTTTTGCCCTTTTGAGCACGGAATTAGGGTTTGGGTTTTAATAAAAATTGGTTTGATGTGTGGATAGTAATGATATAGTTCCTTTTTAATAGGGACGTCATATTTATATTTATTTATTTATATACAAGAAGGTACATTGGGGGTTAACAGAGAACATAGAAATGTTGATTTTACATTCTTGTAAAGCCACTAGCACGCTTAGCGTTTCAGGCAAGTCTTTAACTCACAGATGTCAAGTAACGAGTTTTGATCCCTTAATCGTACATATATGGTTTTTGGGCAATTGTTTTTACGAAAGATTTACGTTTTACGCTCTATGGAATAGGGCATGAATAGCCCGAAAGCTGAACCATTAAGCAATTCATGTCTCAGCTTTCGGGCTATTCATGCCTGTGCCACCTCTTGGGTGGCTTAAACTTCATCAATCAATCAATCAATCAACTTTTCAGTCGACACCATTTGGTCCGGGAGACATCTCCCGTCACGCAGGGTGCAGTCGCACCTCCACAGATCTCCAGTATCATCTTTTGATACTGGTAATGGCTCAAAAGGGCCACCACTTACGGGCTATTCATGCCCGTGCCACCTCTTGGGTGGCTTAATCTTTATCAATCATCAATCAATCAATCAGTCTCGCAATCGTCAACAGCCAGTACACACCTCCGCTTGTGGTACGCAGAAGGTCAATACTTTACAGCAGTATTCCCTTCGGATCACTATTTCGCCGTTTTCTTTTCTTGAAGCTGCTTCAATACCCATCATCTAAATGGTCATTTCATAGTGAATGGTTTCCCCTGTCACAACGGCAGAGATGGTTGACTGCTGGTTGTCGCGTCTACAATGTCCGGCCAAACAGGAGATGAAGCATCGACGGGCGTTGCTGAAACTGTCCCGAACCAAACTCGAACCCGTCCACCACAAAGAAATGCCTCTTTGCAAGTGGGTGTTGATCAGAAACTTGATTCGAGAGGTAGATAACGAGGAGCTGATATACAGATTAGACAAGAACGCAAGGAAGATCCAGGACCAACGAAAGATTATGCGGTTTCTTATCAGTGTGAAGCAAGCCATTTTTCCGACCCTGCGTGAGGATTCAATCTTTGCCAGCATGGAAGATCTTAGCATATCTCCCTTGGAGAATATCCTTGCCCCGACGCTGCCCGTAGATGATCTTTAATGACTCTACAGCATGGAACCTCTAATGACTCAACAGCATGGAACCTCTAATGACTCTACAACATGGAACCTCTAATGACTCTACAGCATGGAACCTCTAATGACTCTACAACATGGAACCTCTAATGACTTTACAGCTTGGAACCTCTAATGACTCTACAACATGGAACCTCTAATGACTCTACAGCATGGAACCTCTAATGACTGTACAACATGGAACCTCTAATGACTCTACAGCATGGAACCTCTAATGACTCTACAGCATGGAACCTCTAATGACTCTACAGCATGGAACCTCTAATGACTCTACAGCATGGAACCTCTAATGACTCTACAGCATGGAACCTCTAATGACTCTACAGCATGGAACCTCTAATGACTCTACAGCATGGAACCTCTAATGACTCTACAGCATGGAACCTCTAATGACTCTACAGCATGGAACCTCTAATGACTCTACAGCATGGAACCTCTAATGACTCTACAGCTTGGAACCTCTAATGACTACAGCATGGAACCTCTAATGACTCTACAGCTTGGAACCTCTAATGACTCTACAGCTTGGAACCTCTAATGACTCTACAACATGGAACCTCTAATGACTCTACAGCTTGGAACCTCTAATGACTCTACAGCTTGGAACCTCTAATGACTCTACAACTTGGAACCTCTAATGACTCTACAGCATGGAACCTCTAATGACTCTACAGCTTGGAACCTCTAATGACTCTACAACATGGAACCTCTAATGACTCTACAACATGGAACCTCTAATGACTGTACAGCATGGAACCTCTAATGACTCTACAGCATGGAACCTCTAATGACTCTACAGCATGGAACCTCTAATGACTCTACAGCATGGAACCTCTAATGACTCTACAGCATGGAACCTCTAATGACTCTACAGCATGGAACCTCTAATGACTCTACAGCATGGAACCTCTAATGACTCTACAACATGGAACCTCTAATGACTCTACAGCATGGAACCTCTAATGACTCTACAGCATGGAACCTCTAATGACTCTACAGCATGGAACCTCTAATGACTCTACAGCTTGGAACCTCTAATGACTCTACAGCATGGAACCTCTAATGACTCTACAGCTTGGAACCTCTAATGACTCTACAGCATGGAACCTCTAATGACTCTACAGCTTGGAACCTCTAATGACTCTACAGCATGGAACCTCTAATGACTCTACAGCATGGAACCTCTAATGACTCTACAGCATGGAACCTCTAATGACTCTACAGCATGGAACCTCTAATGACTCTACAGCATGGAACCTCTAATGACTCTACAGCATGGAACCTCTAATGACTCTACAGCTTGGAACCTCTAATGACTCTACAGCTTGGAACCTCTAATGACTCTACAACATGGAACCTCTAATGACTCTACAGCTTGGAACCTCTAATGACTCTACAGCTTGGAACCTCTAATGACTCTACAACTTGGAACCTCTAATGACTCTACAGCTTGGAACCTCTAATGACTCTACAGCATGGAACCTCTAATGACTCTACAGCATGGAACCTCTAATGACTCTACAACATGGAACCTCTAATGACTCTACAGCATGGAACCTCTAATGACTCTACAGCTTGGAACCTCTAATGACTCTACAGCATGGAACCTCTAATGACTCTACAGCTTGGAACCTCTAATGACTCTACAGCATGGAACCTCTAATGACTCTACAGCTTGGAACCTCTAATGACTCTACAGCATGGAACCTCTAATGACTCTACAGCATGGAACCTCTAATGACTCTACAGCATGGAACCTCTAATGACTCTACAGCATGGAACCTCTAATGACTCTACAGCATGGAACCTCTAATGACTCTACAGCATGGAACCTCTAATGACTCTACAGCTTGGAACCTCTAATGACTCTACAGCTTGGAACCTCTAATGACTCTACAACATGGAACCTCTAATGACTCTACAGCTTGGAACCTCTAATGACTCTACAGCTTGGAACCTCTAATGACTCTACAACTTGGAACCTCTAATGACTCTACAGCATGGAACCTCTAATGACTCTACAGCTTGGAACCTCTAATGACTCTACAACATGGAACCTCTAATGACTCTACAACATGGAACCTCTAATGACTCTACAGCATGGAACCTCTAATGACTCTACAGCTTGGAACCTCTAATGACTCTACAGCATGGAACCTCTAATGACTCTACAGCATGGAACCTCTAATGACTCTACAGCATGGAACCTCTAATGACTCTACAGCATGGAACCTCTAATGACTCTACAGCATGGAACCTCTAATGACTCTACAGCATGGAACCTCTAATGACTCTACAGCTTGGAACCTCTAATGACTCTACAGCTTGGAACCTCTAATGACTCTACAGCATGGAACCTCTAATGACTCTACAGCTTGGAACCTCTAATGGGCTAGCCACAGCCACGAATGACGAATCTGTGATAAAGAAATTATATGATTAAAAAGTACGTTAATATTCATTCTTTTTAACATTGTTTTTAACAAAAGTATTTTAATTTTTTTTTAATATCCATTCTTTAACTGCTGGTAATTACTTCATTGTTCAAGTTTTGAATAACGTATAAGTGATAATAGGGAGTTTCAGATAATTTTGTGCATAGATTTAGTCCGAGTCTGAAAATATTACTGAAATATATATTTCTGATGTGATATTCAAGGGTTCTATTACGTGTGTCTAGGAAGAGTTTAATAACAGGATTAGAATTTAGGAATAAGGCTTTGTATGTGTGAATGCACAAGAGACTGTGTGGAGTGAGTGCAGGATTTAAACAGAGAGACTGTATGCAGACGATGAGTCACAATAACGTGGCTGAAGTATGTTGAATCGACTTGAGAATGATCCAGGATGGACCGAAACGTCGTCGTCCCTTCACCATCTATAGTGTGTGGTCTGGTCAACAGAGAGACTATATGCAGGCGATGAGTCACAATAATGGGGCTGAAATATGTTGACCAGACCACACACTAGAAGTTGAAGGGACGACGACGTTTCGGTCCATTCTCAAGTCGATATCGACTTGAGAATGGTCCAGGACGGACTGAAACGTCATCGTCCCTTCACCTTCTAGTGTGTGTGGTCTGGTCAACAGAGAGACTATATTTTGTCTGAAGGCAGAATTTGCTATAGAATTTGATATTTTATATCTGATATTTTGCTGCGTGATGGTAGACTTGACCCTTGAGGTAGCATGCAGAAATTGAACCCCCAAGCACAAACACCATAATATAGATTAGTGAGAAGAGGAAGGTGAGGGGAGGGAGCATAGTGTCTGATTTTTTGAGTGTACCAAAAGTTTCAGAAACATTATTTTTTGGGGGGTTATACGTGAGTACTTAAGCTAAATCTCCTGTCTCTGTACAGAGCACGATATTCCTTTACTTTTGCAATCAATATTTATTGATTAATCAATAAATATTTGATAATATTTATTATCAATATTACGTGGCAGCTCCTATTTATATCCACCCAAATTAATTTATATAAATGTATAATCTATGCTTGAAAGAGTCAAGGGATCCCCTCTTCTTAAAAATCGGTACCACATTAGCAACCCTCCACGACTCCGGTATTCTACTTGACTGTATATGACAAAGGCTCGCATAGCTTTTGCTGTGGTTTTAGATTCAACAACTCTGAACAAAAGTACCAAGTAGCACGGGCTATGGTGAGCCCGTAGTGGACTTACCCGGCACAGGAGCGGGGCTGTAACAGCGCGCGCACACACACACACACGTTAGTGTGTGTGTGTGTGTGTTAGGTGAGAAGTTAGTTACAAGAAAAAAAACTGACGTTTCAGTTTCAGCCCCGATCTTGTGCCAGGTAAGTCCATTACGGGCTCGCCATAGCCCGTGCTACTTGGAACTTTTTGTTCGCAGTAGCTGAATCTAAAACAACAACAACATGCTATACGTACTTCATCGCCAGTCGTAGCCCAGCTGTGGTCACGCCACACTTGGTCCGTGAGACATCTCCCGTCACGCAGGGTGCAGTTGCGACTCCACAGATCTCCAGTATCATCTTTTGATACTGGTAATGGCTCGAAAGGGCCACCACTTACGGGCTATTCATGCCCGTGCCACCTCTTGGGTGGCTTAATCTTCATCAATCAATCAATCGATTCTTCAGCACCATCTGGTCACCATTTGGTCCGGGAGACATCTCCCGTCACGCAGGGTGCAGTCGCACCTCCACAGATCTCCAGTATCATCTATTGATACTGGTAATGGCTTAAAATGGCCACCACTTACGGGCTATTTATGCCCGTGCCACCTTTTGGGTTTCTTCATCTTCATCTTAACACATTCATAAGGGAGACATCTCCCGTCATGCAGGGTGCATTCGCACCTCAACAGATCTCCAGTATCAGCTCTTGATACTGGTAATGGCTTAAAAGGGCCACCACTTACGGGCTATTCATGCCCGTGCCACCTTTTGGGTGGCTTAATCTTCATCAATCAATCAATCCAGCTGTGGTCGAGGAAGGGTGCGTCTCGGAGTGCTCTAGAAACTTGTAAACCAGTGACCTTAATGTAGGATGGGCAAGACGGTTCCAGGCCTTTTCAGGTATCAATAACCAGGAGAAACAGACCGTTTGGTCACCATTTGGTCCGGGAGACATCTCCCGTCACGCAGGGTGCAGTCGCACCTCCACAGATCTCCAGTATCTATTGATACTGGTAATGGCTCAAAAGGGCCACCACTTACGGGCTATTCATGCCCGTGCTACCTCTTGGGTGGCTTAATCTTTATCAATCAATCAGGAGAAACAAACGGAAAACTGTGCGCCATATATGATGAGTTAAGTGATACTGACAGTGATTAACGAGTGAAGAAGTGCAGTGATCGACGGCTGACAGAACCTGAGTTACAAAGTTCTCTACAAACTCAGTAGGAAAATCTCCCCTGAAGGATGCAACAGGACCCCATACAGCAAGAGGCGCGGATTAATGGCGGGAAATTAATGGCGGGAAATTAAGCGGGAAATAACACCCGCTTCCTACCATTATCAAGATAACTCAAGATAATGGTAGGAAGCGGGTGTTATTTTCCTCGACATGTCCACTAACTTTTCATCAGAAGCTCGAGTGGACCGTCCAATTGACCAAAGAATTCGCAGGAAAGTGGTAAAATATCCTGGCCGGGGAAGATTGACTGGGCGCCAAACCTTAACTGTAGCCTCTGTTCACCCAGCAGTGAATGGGCACCTGGTTGTTAAACAATTCGGCGGGTTCGTATTCCGGGGAAATTAGGGTTAAGGACCTGCCCGAAACGCTACGCGTACTAGTGGCTTTACAAGAATGTAAAACTTGTAAAACTATGTAAACTGAGAAGCCTACATTATGCATGACGTGTTCTCGCTGGGGGCACACTAGAAAGTGAAGGGACGACGACGTTTCGGTCCGTCCTGGACCATTCTCAAGTCGATTGTGAGAATTGCTTCTCAATGACTTTAAATATATGGAGGCTGTGGACAAGGCGACGTCAATTATCAATGAATTGGCAAACCGCAGTAAAGTTAAATTCATTCTTGAAGAACATCATGCTTAGTAACGTAAGAACATGAGGATCTTATTATTCTTTCACATGCATTGTTCATTTCTTCCCATCTTTTGAAGTGAGAGTTAATTCATTACCTCCCTCGCCTCTCATTAGTCCAATCGCCGAAGCTTCATTTATCTCTGAAATTCTATCCCCAATACTATGTTTAATCATATCATCATTATCTCAGTAATAGCATTTCTTGGATCATGAGAGTTATCTTGGGCTTATTCTCATGCCTTCATGTTGTACCTTCTCCAACTTGTTTAGTTTATGTAGAATATAATGTAGAATATGTAGATTAATAATTGTTTACTATATGGGTTAGTGAGCCCCTTGAGGGACCATACATAAACCAGGGCGAACCTGTCGTACTCCTCAGTTACAGCCCCGCTCCTGTGCCAGGTAAGTTACGGGCTCACCATAGCCCGTGCTACTTGCCCCGCTCCTGTGCCAGGTAAGTTACGGGCTCACCATAGCCCGTGCTACTTTGAAACTTTTGTTCTAAGTAGCTGAATCTAAAACAACAACAACAACGGTCGTACTCACCTGGCACAGGAGACGTGCCTGACTCTTTTTCCTGATTGATTGATAAAGATTAAGTCACCCTAAAGGTGACACGAGAATGAATAAGTGGAGGTTCTTTCGAACCATTGCCGATGATACAAGTGATCTGTGGATGGATGGATGGATGGGAGGGTCTTTATGGTGGATTTCAGGCTCGGAGGGCTGGCTGTACCAGTTATGGAGCTGGTGGAGTTAGTGTAGACCTCCAGGTCTTCCATTACTTTTAGCTGAATCTTTCTTTGGCTGAGATTTGTTGCGAGTTGACATAGTTCGTCTCTTTCCTGCGTAACAACTGCTTTTATCGCCTCTTTTCCCCAAATCATTTCCCATACCACCACTATCAACTGACAGTTTAAGCTCAAACAAATCCCACTAGCCACAGATTCATGCAAATTAGCAAGAACAACAACTCCGTCTCAAAATACATATCTTGGGACGAACTCCGTCCCTTACATACATATCTTGGGACGAACTCCGTCCTCTTACATACATATCTTGGGACGAACTCCGTCCTCTTACATGCATATCTTGGGACGAACTCCGTCCTCTTACATGCATATCTTGGGACGAACTCCGTCCTCTTACATGCATATCTTGGGACGAACTCCGTCCTCTTACATACATATCTTGGGACGAACTCCGTCCTCTTACATACATATCTTGGGACGAACTCCGTCCTCTTACATACATATCTTTCCTTCCATGGAAGTGTTTTCAGTTATCAATGAATGATATTGCATTTGATTTGCAATATTTGTCTAATTGATAATTGATTCCAATTGCTGTAGACAGCAGTCCAATTCCAACTCCCCATATATTGAGTTTCAGGAAAGACCTGGGTAAATGCTGAACTGGGATTAAGGTAGTTGGTCTATGGAACGAATTACCGGGTAATACAATAGACGAGGGAACCAAACCACACATCAGAAGTAACGACAACGTTTCGGTCCGTCTTGGACCATTATCAAGTAACCTTATACACAGCTTGATAACTGGATCCAGGACGGACCGAAACGTCGTCGTCCCTTCACCTTCACGTGTGTGGTCTGGTCATCATATCTTCAGCCACGTTATTGTGACTCATCGCCTCCGCAATAGATGAGGAATCACTTGATTTTTCAAGCTTAAGTGTAAGAAAGTGTCGTGGTGGATTTCTGCCTCGGAGGGCTTGCCCTTGAGGTGTAATGTTCTTGTTATATATTTAGCTACTGAAAACAAAAAGTTCCAAGTAGCACGGGCTATGGTGAGCCCGTAGAGGCCTTACCTGGCACAGGAGCGAGGCTGAATTGAGGTGTTGTTTTAGATTTAGCTACTCAGAACGAAGTGTCTATGTAGCATGGGCTATGGTGAGCCCGTAAGTTGAGGTGTAAGAAAGCCGGGCTTTATATACTGAAGCCTCGTCATAGAGTCACCACAGTTGCGACATCTCCGGTCCTTACTTTGCTCCTTATATTCACTCCATCTGAAGCTGTGCCAATTTTACGGGCTATTCATGCCCGTGCCACCTCTTGGGTGGCTTCATCTGCATCAATCAGTGCCAATTAATTGCCCAAGGATATATTACATCCTGGTGAAACAATATCCTTACAACGATGAAAAAAAATCGACTCAAATTGAAACGGAAAGATCGGCTTCAGCTTACGATTCTCTCTGAAGCCAAACTTAATGCCATAATTGAAGGAGATACTCGACTTTGCAAGTTTGTAACGATTAAGAACCTGTTGCTTCGGTTATACGATCGAGAACTCAGGAGCAAATTGAAAAGAGAAAAACGGAAGGCCCGCTTGCGCGCTTCTCGGTTCAAATTAAATTTGAATGAGATACCGTTGCTAACCGTTACAAGCGCGGAGGACATTTCTTTACCGGTCCCCATCACGCCTATGTCGACGGATGACAACCATATTGCTGGTGGTTCTGAGTTTAACTGCGCCAATGGCAAGGTTCTGACGACCGAGGGAAATAATGGAATGACAGTTAAGGAGGGTGACGCCCAAGAATGTCTCGTTGATGGTTCGACAGTGTTAAAGGAACCGTTGGGAGTCCTTATGGACTCCGCCATTGGTGCGCGTCAGTCAAATGATGCTGAATTATCTAGTTCCACTAGTGATACATTATCTAGTTCCACTAGTGATACATTATCTAGTTCCACTAGTGATACATTATCTAGTTCCACTAGTGATACATTATCTAGTTCTACTAATGATTCATCATCTAGTTCCACTAGTGATACATTATCTAGTTCCACTAATGATTCATCATCTAGTGACTCCTATAGTGACTCATCTAGTTCCTCTAGTGACTCATCTTGTTCTTCTAGTGACTCATCTGATTCCACTGACGAACATTCATCTAGTTCCTCTGATGCTGAGTTATCTAATGATGAAAAACATGAGAAAGCTGAAAGCAAGAGTGTCAATTGATCATAATTGTTAGCTATAATATAGCCTTAATTTGTAACTATAGTTTTATATATATTTTTCGTAAATAAAATGATCTTATTTGCTTTCTAATTTATTATCCAATAATCTCCAAAGAATTAAGACACGCATAGAGTTAATTGGCTCTTATCAGGGAATTGTATGTGTGTTTCACTACATTATCAAAGAATACAGAGGAGATTGATTGATTGATGAAGCCACCCAAGAGATGTTAGGGGATTGTCAGCCCGTAAAAGGCAGATTTTTTGGAGTGAATCCAAAGTCTATTATGTTATTGTACCTTGCATGATAGCGAACCTGTTAATATTTATAGAATATAGAATGTGTAGATACTGTCAAGTGTCTGGGATGCTCTCGGACGTAGGTTTGAGAGTTAGCCACGTTATTGTGACTCCTCGTCTGCCAGTGGGAATAAATAACTCTCCTAAGAGTGAAAAGCTGGAACCTCACTTATTTATATACCATCTCGTACAGTCCTTAATCAAATTCTCTCGCCCTTCTCTACTGATTGATCAGTCATCTATTTCCTTTGTCTAATAATGCATTCATTAATCCTATTCTATGTCGAAAAATATACGTTTGTCTCAATTCTTTATATCATCTTCGCAGTCAGTTGTCCTGTCGTATACACATATATTGAACACAATAGCATAGTTTTTTGTCTCATGCTGATACTTTCTTCATTAGAGAATAGTTAGAAATCACTGCATTTGACCAGAAATGGATAGCGGGAGATTTTTGGAAAAATATATTGATTTAGTTACCGGTTTAAATTTGAAATAAAAAACATTCAGAAGTTTGATACAATACAGAAAACAACAAACTCCAACTATTTATTGGCTAACTAAGGTATTATAGAATCCTTAAACAACATGATATCTACAATTAAACGTATCTTGAAAATGCCTTTTGGATCATAGGAGGCTATGTACAAAAAGAATTACGAATGTTCTAGTCTATCTTGAGCAACAATTTGTCAAACTAGCAAGAAATAAAAAGCAAAAATAATTTATAAAGTGTGTATAATATGAGAGGCAAAGATTTGGAGAAACTATATTACACTTAACATATATCAACACAAAGATCAGGGACAAACTCGGTCCATTAAACGGAGAGACAGATCAAGTATTATTATAATCGATTTTCGCCTTGTTAGGCCTCCAGTTAGATTATGTAGCTGAACTTTGGTCTTTGGTCAAAGGCTGTACGTACCTCTCTCAACCAGTTTAAAAGTAATACTAGGTACTACCTAGTTAACTCCGTGTAACCTACCTTACCCCCTAAATGTCAACACATGTCTTACTATTCTAAACAATGCTGTTTCTTGAACAGAATCGTGAGCCAAGTATATTTTGTCCGATGCCTTGCGTCTTGAATCCATGAATTGTAGGGGTTCAGTCCCTGAGCCCATTATGTGCCTCAGTAATCCTTTACCGCCCACAAGATGGGTATAGGGGGGTGCATAATAAATGAATTAAACTAAATAACTTACGTCTTGACCCTCCCAAGTTCCCCATTAGGCGAATGGGGGACGGGGGAGCTTCGACAAGCCGCCAGCTTCCTGTCCTCATCGAGGCCACTAGTGTTAGCTGTGCGGGTAAGTAGCCTTTGGTGCGGAACGGTGTCGGCGTCCTTGCTGAATATATACAACATCATATTTGATATTGTTGTCAGCTGCCTCAAATACGCTTTAATAAAAGGAAGATAAGTTGGCGAGACAGGAACGACTGACTTCTTACATGTACCCGCGTTTGGAGACTCTCTTATTAACCTGTAATGTTTTAGGTGATATACAATCGGCAATTATTGCTTCCAGGGACTTGACCACGGTCGATGTGAGGTTTATTGGTAGGTAGTTCGCAGCTCTATCCCCATTTTTTTGTAAGGCCATTACATTAAAAGTATTTTTCTTTCGAATGAAAACGTCAGCTTATAATTTGAAAGTCATTGTTTCATGTGATAGTGTACGATGCAAAATTAAAGGGGTATTTCTGGGTCAAGATTGTCAAACCCTTCAATTATTTTAATGACTTTGTATGATTTGTTTCTTTAAGTATATTTTTGTCCTCCGTCGGCAGTGACCGCCCTCTAATATGTCAATATTCTGTCTTAAATTTTCTGTTGGGTTTCTTGAAGCAGTGACTTGGCGTTTTCTCCTGATAGTTCACTTAGTGCACTGCTTACTTGGCTTCAGATCATTCTCTAGATTTCTGCTTGCTCGGTAAGCAGAAATCGAGAGAACTAACCTAACCCAGAACTAAACTAAGAAATATAACCTAACCTAACTTTGCTCCGTACATCTACAGTTGTAGCATAACTCTACAATTTATCCATACATTTATAATGGTTTCAAAATCTACAATTGTTTCCGTGAAGCTACAACAAGCAATTACAAAGGAGCACATAACAGCAACAGACTATATAATTTAAATTAGGCTGTTTATGGTCAGCCTATGACGTTTCAAACAACGACAGCCTATATGGAGTTTCAAACGAGAGAGTCGAGAATTTAAGAAGTGTCTATCTAAGTTCTATCTATCTAAGGTCAATCTAGTGTCTAATCTAAGTTCAAATATATTTATTGTGCCCCTCCCCCCTTTTCACATTTCCTGGTTGTTATCCCCACAACAGTTGCTTAACTCCCGAGTATCTATAGTTACCGCTTGGTGAACAGATGCATTAGGTGAAATGAAACGTGATCACCCATTTCTGGTTCGCCCGGGAATTGAACCCGGGGATCCCCAATTGTGAGATAAGAACAAAGCCAACTCTATTGCAGACAAGGGTAAAATCGAAACGGAATGCAGCCGCGGAGGAATTTTTTTTAATATTGGTTGATAACTGCTTTATTAAACATTATATATTGTTGAACCAACACGGAAAAACCTTATATATTAGATCTGGTTGTAAACTGATTTCAGGACAGTGTTTCAGGAAAAATTAGTAGGCTGGTAGTAAAAGTTAGGCAATTGTGAGGAGAGAGAAGTGAAAAAGGGCACTATTTGAGCAAACCGGAGTTAGATTAAGTTATATGCTTGGTTTACCAGAATTTACCTGTGGGGCCGCTATCACTCCAGTGGCCCCGATGAGGACAATAAACCAGCGGCTTGTCAAATGGCTCAAGTCTTATCAGCCTCAGAAGTCTTAGTGAAGCCATTACAATTGCTTACTGACCAACCATACAGCAAGTATACCTTAGTCATGCGAACATTATCCAGTACTTATGTATAGCGGGGTATACCTCTCGGTGTATGTACATCCATTTGTCAATTCAATCTCTTCTCAATCTAAATTAACCTAATTTGTATCTGGCGCTTTAGGATAGGAACATTGAAAATAATTGGTTTAGGATATAGACCTTGTGTTGTGTTCTCATCTTTTTATAATCATAATAAACTGTTCGGAAATGGTGGCAGAGGCTGTGATGCGTCAGCGTTGTCATTTATTAGATCGTCATAATGACATCCGATGATGACATAAATGCCAGTGAAAGTGTTATGATGGTGAGTGCCAAGGATATATTGAGGGGGAAGGTAGTGGAATCGAGTGCCTTGGGTGTCAGTGGAGGGGGCGGGGAGAGTTCCTTGGGTGTCAGGGGAGAGGGCGGGGAAAGTTTCTTGGGTGTCCGGGGAGGGGGCGGGGAGAGTTCCTTGGGTGTCAGGGGAGGGGGCGGGGAGAGTTCCTTGGGTGTCAGGGGGAGGGGGCAGGGAAAGTTTCTTGGGTGTCAGAGGAGGGGGGCGGGGAGAGTGCTTTACGTACTGAGGGAAAGATAATGTTGCTTTGAGTGTCGAGGAAATGGGTGGAGAGTGCCTTTGGTGGCAGGAAAGGGGTTAGAGAGTGCTCTGAATGCCAGGGAAGGGGGTAGAGAGTACTCTGGGTGCCAGGGAGGAAGTGAAATATGCTCTTGAGTGCCAGGGAAGAGGGTGGATAGTGCCTTAGCGCCAGGAGATGGAACGGAGAGTGCTTTAGGTGCCAGAGAAGTAGTGGAGAGCGTTCCGAGTGCCAGAGGAGTGACGGAGAGTGTTCTGGGTGCCGGGGGAGGTGGTACTGGTGGTAATCAGAGTAACCTTACATTTGTCAACATTAAACTACATCTGCCAATCTTTTGACCATTTCAAAACCCTATTTAGTTAGTTTAGTTCATTTATTATGCACCCCATACCCATCTTGTGGGCGGTAGTGGAAAGGGTTACAGAGGCACATAATGGGCTCAGGGACTGAACCCCACAATTCATTTAGCTAAGCAAGTTACAATCTTGATGAGCTAGTTACAAAATTCAATACAAGTCATCACATCAACAATGGGTTCGAGATCGACCTCAAGTACAGGTTCTAAATTAAGCAACTGACATATGTGGAGAGCTAGTGTCACAAGTTATATGTTTGTCCTGCACACCGCCCCCCATCCAGTGGGAAGCGGTGGATAGGTTACAATCACTATTTAGATCGTCTTTAAGTTATAATGAGTCTTTTTCCGTGTTTATATCCCTCCTGATTTCCGTATCATCGGCAGATTTGCAAACATTGCTGCTCAAACCTGAATCTAAATCATTTATAAATATTATGAATAACAGATATCCCAGCTAGGACAGAGCCTTGAGGCACTCCACTTACCACATTTTCCCACTCTGACTTAACCCCATTTATACTAACTCTGTTTCCTTTGGTATAGCCATGCCCTAATCCAACTTAATATAGCCTATCCTCTATTTTAATCAATCTTTCATGTGGCTCTGTATCAAAGGCTTTGCTAAAGTCAAGGTACACAACTTCACAAACTTACCAGTATCAACTGGCTCAACTATGCTGGAATAAAATGATAGAAAATGTTTTAAACATGAACGGCCATTTGTAAAATCATGTTGTGAATCATTTATTAATCTATGTTTTTCAAGATGAAGATGAGTGGTATTTGCAATTGTCGATTCAAGCAACTTTCCTACAATAGATAGACATATATACTATATATGAATGAGATTGCGTGGCTATAAATTGGAGCTGCCTCGTATGGGCGAATAGGCCGTCTGCAATTACCATCATTCTTATGTTATTATGTAATGGCGGAGGGGAGGGGAGGTGGGTTAATTATTGGAGATTGAGATAGGTATAGTTTAGTTCATTTATTATGCACCTCATACCCACCCTGTGGGCTGTAGTGGAAAGGGTTACAGAGGCACATAATGGGCTCAAGGACTGAACTACACAAATCATTTAGGTAAGCATGTTACAATCTTAATGAGCTAGTTGTTCAATACACATCGTCACATATCAACAATGGGCTCGAGACCGACCACAAGTACAGTTTCTAAATCAAGCAACTGACGCACGTGGAGAGCTAGTGTCACAATGTGGAGATTGAGATAGCGAATAATGCGAGTTGTTAGGGGGTGGTTGGGGGGAAGATATTGGGGGAGGGGGCGTGGTGGTGGTTTCCCCAACCTCCCTTTCCCCGCCAAGGTGGCTTCCCCCACCTCCCTTCCCCCATCTAGGTTAGATTCCCCCACCTCCCTTCCCCCATCTAGGTTAGATTCCCCCACCTCCCTTCCCCCATCTAGGTGGATTCCCCCACCTCCCTTCCCCGCCAAGGTGGCTTCCCCCGCCCTGGTGTGGTGGGGGAAGGGAGGGGACAAGTGGCTCCATCTGTTGAGAGGCGTGAGAGAGCCGCCATCACCAGCGGTCGTCTGCACACCAGCTGGGTTTTCCTCCGGAGAAACATTCATTTAGCGCCATGTTGCGAACGTCAGCTGCCCTGAGGGCGGCCCTGCCCAAGCTGACGCCCAGGAGCCTCTCCAGGAAGACTTCCCAGCGGAGTATGTCAGCGGCGATGCCCTCTACGGTGAGGAAAGTGAGGTAAGATTCTCTCTCACTCACCACTTCCCTCACCGCTGACTGCCGGCACAGTCAGCTGAAGCTGCCATGTAGGAGCTGTAGAGCCTATCAAGGCCTACACATGCACTTTTTCCACCCCAAGGGGTCATTTTTTACTATAGGTAGGCTGACATATAGGCCTATGGGAGTAAAATGTATCGCTCATGACCTAGGTTTTGTAGGCCTATGCTGGGGCCAGCCTGGCCATTATTACAGCAAAATAACTGTCAAATAGATCATCAATAGACAGGACTACTGTCAGTTTATCCGTGACATAAAATATTGTATGTTTCTGTAAACCAATTTGTTGACCTCCCATCGTAACGGAGAATGTATATATTTTTTGTTTTTTATATATATTTTACGAAGGCAGTATTATGCATACAAATGGCATGCATTAGGCAGTGATGTGGTGGAGGCAGACACCATACACAGTTTGGAATGTTGATATGATACAGAGCCCAATTGGTTCGGGAATCTGTTCAATGATTGGATGACAGTTGAGAGGCGGGACCGAAGAGCTGAAGCTCGACCCCCGCAAGCAGAAGTGAGCGAGTACAAGTAAACGAGTACCTGCAGCTTTTGGGGGGGTAATTATTGCAGCAGGTATGGTTAAGTGTACGTTCCTGTCGGTGAAAGTGGAGCGATTTGATCCTGGGGGTTCATTGCTGTGCTGTTTTTGATGGCGTTTCTGGCATTTCATCCAACCTTACTACTGGTAAATGATGCTTATTGTAGGGAAAAATGAAAGCCATGCACTGTAACATGGATGAGTAGGCTGTTCATCCTATGTTTAGGATGAATACTTGCACGCGATTAACCTAGTGACCTTTGTTTAGGTATAAAAGTAATGACTGTACAGTTCAATGTAACATTCGTATGAATATTGTTTTGAGTATAATAAATATACAATTTTTGTTTTAAATATAAATAATGTGCATTATTTCCCAGATATAGGCCAATTGTACTGTAAAGTAGATTTTAAAATTTGCCCTTTACATAGATGAACATAAACTTTAAATTTCCATAGCAGGCATTGAATAGTTTTTGGCCAAAATATAAGCCTAATCCAAATTGTGTAAAATACTGTACACACAATTCTGTGGCAACTTTTGTTTAGCAAACCACACACTTATGTTTATTAATGTTTCAAAGTGATAGGCTATTAATCATTAGTAATTTAATTAACTAATCATAGTGATAGGCTGACTAATGTACTCTAGCAATTAGTTTTTAAAGGAAATTGGCAGGTAACAATTGTTTAATGCTAAGAACAGTGATGGGTTCTTGTATAAATTTATATTCATTAGGTATGGTTTACCCACCAAATATATTTAACTCCATAGAGACTGCACGGTGCAGATCCTGAGCTCTTTAGGAATGTGTTCTTACTTGTTTAATGTTTTTAATGTTCAGTCCCATAGTGCCTGTCGTCTCCATCGCTTGAACTGTTCATGGTTTCATCGGGCCTTGGCTGGTGCTCTTATTTCCAATCATACCCTTTTGGTGAGCCTTTGTGGTTTCCTCTCCTAAGGTGAATACATATCACAGTGAAGTAATTTGCTGTGGTTTGGATGGTTCTTTTTCTCATTCTCCTTTTGCAAAGCTTGGCTCTTTGGCTTCCCTTTTACAGTGTTTCAGTACTGGAATCCATTTGGATAATTTTGGATTTAACTGTTGGAGTGCTATAGGGTAGCATCCTAGGACCTCGTCTATTTCTTGTATACATCAATGATCAGCCTAATGTCTGTAACATTCTTAAACCTATACTATTTGCTGATGATATTACCTCCATCTATTCAGACCCCAACTCCCACACACTAAATAATTTTGTAAATAATTAAAAAAGTTCATTCATGGATGTCAACCAACAAACTCTCACTAAACATAGAAAAGACATACTGTACTACATTTTATTTGGAAGCAAATCATGAAATGAAATTCAGCTTCAGATAGACAATGTTAACATCAGCAATTAAAATGATGGAAAGTACTTTGGCCTATACATAGACAAGAGACTCAAACCAGCACCCACATAAAACACACAACCAAAAATGTATCGGAAAATGGATGGTATACTTTCTAAAATCAGATATTATGTTCCAAACTCTGCTCTTCTCACATTATACAATGAGTTAATCAATCCCTATCTTGCATATGGTATCTGTGCATGGGGTTCAACCACTGCAAACTACCTCAAGCCCATCATCACCCAGCAAAAATCTGCTGTCTGAAAAAAGTTTGTTAATGTTCTGATAACACACAGCCCTTCTGTTTAAATCCCTAAATATGCTAAACATAAAATCTCTCCACACATTCTCTTGTGCCATTTACATGCACAAAACCTTGTTCCTAAATGCAAATCCTGATTTGAAACTTCCTTGTCAGATGTAATAGAACCCATAATCACCACACCAGAAATAAATATTTCTTTGATATCCCCCAGAGTCAAACTAAATCTGTGTAAACACCATGCAAATTAAGGAACCTACTCTATAGAACTCACTCCTGTAACGAATTAAAAAGCTGGCCAACCTATGCCGTTTTCAAAAGTAAAACAAAAAGTACCTAATTTCATCCTCAGTTTCCTACCTATTGCTTCAAACTCTCACTATCTCCAATGCTACCCACTCCCCCAATATATGTGCCTAAGACATACAACTTCACCATTGTAATCACTGCTATCATCTCATATTATGATGGTTATGTTGAATGCAAATTTTACTATGATATATTGGACCTAGAAATAAGCCTCATTATGCTACAATGCACCTGTTGATAAACTTCAAATTTTGCTATAATGTACCTATGAATTATCTTCAAATTTTCTTACAATGTACCAGTTAACTTTCTTCAAATTTTGCTAAAAAATTACATAAAGTATGTTAAAATTGTTAGATTAAGGACCTGTCCAAAGTGCTGTATGTGTTAGTGGCTTTACAAGAATGTAAAAACATTAATGCTATGTACTCTCATAAACCCAATGTACCTTCTTGTGTATATATAAATAAAATAAATAAATAAATAATTTTGTAGAACAGGTGTGTGTCCAATCTGTTCCTTTCCCACTCGGGTTGAACTTGAAAGATAACTAGTTTTCTGGGTTTTGGAGTTTAGTCTTCAAAGTGGACTACAATCAGAGAGGGGTCTCATACATTCTTGTAGAATGGCCTCTCGTTTGTGTCTGATCTTAACAGAATGGGAGCTGAATGAGTCCTCCTTATGTTGGATGTGTAAGACTCTTGGATATCTTGAAGTGAATCTTTGTGTGTGTGTGTGTGTGTGCCTTTATGGTGTAGCTTTTTAGCCTAGGCCTAATCTGATATCAAACTTCTTAATGTGGCTCCATTTCCTGATAGTGTGGCCTTTGCCCTAGATGTGCTTTTTCTGCATAACAGTTTGAGAGCGCCTTTACCTTTTTCCTTGAATCCAGATACTACTAATGTATATCTCCTTCTGTTGTCTGAATTTTTATTTCCTTGTGGCCAGTTTTGCATGTATCCAGCCCTTCTGTTCGTGTGCCCATGTCCTGATCTTTTCCGTAGTCTGCCTCTCGGCATCGGTAGCCGGACCTACATGGCTGGTTCGAGAGACTGACATACTTTATGTATGGCATTGTTTAATTTTTAGTACTGCCACCATTATGGAAGTGGGTGGGGGCTTGTTGTTTTGGAATATTTTTGTTAACGCTTTAGTTTTCTCGGAGCATAATTTTGCAATATGGTTGTTGATAAATATTTTTTCTTACAGGGGCATCCGAGTTCTGGAGGAACATAGACAAGCAAAAACGCCCATAGCAGTGGTGTCGCCTTATCAACGAGGGTATGCGTCAAGTAGTGACCTTCCTCCTCACATCAAGGTCAACCTTCCAGCTCTCTCCCCTACCATGGAAATGGGGACCATAATTTCATGGGAGAAGAAAGAAGGCAAGTAAGCTCATGCAGTAATATATTTTTTCTGTGCAGTATATACTGTGTGTTTTTATACAACTGCACTAATAAGCAGTTCTAATGGACATGAATGTATGCAAGGATAGAAATGAATTTGGCAGATATTTTAGTACTGTACATTCAAACACAATATCAGCCATATTTTAGGTTTTGGCCTAAAATTGTGGGTTACAAAAACATTAAAATTATGGGCTATCTATCTATTGCTACCTGAAAATAACCCATAACTGATGCGATAGGTATTGATAGACTAACCTGTAGCCAAGGGCTTGCTTGGCAAGTGTGTGGTTCAGAGGGTTTGCCTGGTCCGCCTGTGGCCAGGCCAAGGGAAGGACTTGCCTTGCAGAGGTTTAAAAAATGAATGGTAGCATATGAAGTTTGAGAGCAGATTAAGCCTAGGCAAATAGTCTAATACCATAGATACAGATAGACTTTCAGACATGTAATATGGAGTTGTACAGGCATGCATGTATCAAGTCTTGTAGGATAGAGGAAATTAGGGGGTTACACCGACCTGAATCAATATTGAAGTAAAGTGGGCTGTTCTTGAGACATGCCATATATATTCAATAGTGTGTTATATGACTGGATTACAAATGTCACATCTGCCACAGTAAGGTCAGGGTCAGGGCAGAATTATTCACTACCACACTGACAACACTCGGGATAATATGACTTATTTGTATTTTATATTCCTTGGGTAGTAACCCTTGTGGATCAATATATACTCCAATAAGTGTATTGCACATCTGTGTATGCACACTGAGAATGAACCTTTAGTCCTGGAATAGGTTGGTCAGTAAACTATTGTGATAGACTTAATAACCGTTCCTTAATTGTAGGGGGGGCCTTTGCTGTATTTATATTTTATATTTCTTTATGCGGAAATCAATAAAGTGCAGTATTTCAGATTTTCTTGTTCCTTGATATGTATAAAAGATAAAATGTAAAAAATGTATATATTTTATTTTGATTAATGAACAGTACAGTACTCTATTTACAGTACAGGTGAACTGAAAGGAAGATTAATGAATTTATTTGTTCCTTTACACAGTTTTTGTTTAATTGTAGCTTCATTTAGGCATTGTCACTCTCCCAGTATTTTGTTTTGGGCTGAAAAATATATATTAAAGTTTATTGTCACCTTTAGGAATTGATGTAATGGTATAAATGCAGGTGATGTTCTCAACGAAGGAGACCTGCTGGCCGAGATCGAGACGGATAAGGCAACCATGGGGATGGAGACCCCCGAGGAGGGCTACCTGGCCAAGATTGTAGTTCCCGGAGGTGAAAAGGATGTGCCGCTAGGAAAGGCAAGTTACACTGTACATGTACAGTTTGCGGTATTTAATTTTGAGGGAGGGATGTAGGAAGTTGGAGATCCTATCCAAATACCTGTACAATACTTGCTTTTATATTCACAGGGCCTCGGTTAATTGTTTAACCTTTAGAGACCTCAATTTATCTGGACAGCTGTCGGCTGTGTACACTATAGTACTGTATTAATAATAATGATAAATTGTTTTCAAATAACAATTAAAATGATGGTAATTTTTAAAAGAAAATGGAAGTTAACTAGAATCTGATGTTGATATCATTTCCTGGTATTTTATAGTGTGACACCTTTATTTTCTTTGCTTACTGGAGTTCTTTGCTTTTTCACTCGAGGTATTTAGTTTAGAGTAACTAAATACTCGAGGAATAAAATAAACTCAAATTAGAGGAATTATAGTAGTCTCGGTTATCATTCATTATATATTTCATTTGTAAGCCCCAATTGCAACCAAGTTTCTAATGCGCATCCCTTCTCTTGAACCAAGATATGTATTGGTTTTGGTTAGCCTGTACACTTTAAGCAGCTTTAATCTGTTTTGGGTCAGTTTCAGATCTCCATACTCCCCCTTGTCTCTTGGGCATATTCTGGTTTAGATGTTCAGTATGCCTGCTTTAGTTCAGAGGTCTGGTAGTCTTGTGGATATCTGTGTAGTGCCAGAGCCAATGCATTGTCATGTTAATGAGGCCACAGAAAATGGAGCAGTATTGCATTCAAAGATTAATATTTTGACTCTTAAGAAAGAATAGGGCCGATATACAAATGCCTTTGAAAGTACTGTACTGTACTAGTATTGCTTAGAACACTTGTTTGAAGAGATTTCCTAATGGAGACAATGTTAGAGGAGTTGGGATAATGGAAATGCCATTGAGCACTAAAATCTGTGGTCGGGTTTTATTTTGAGTAAGGATTTTGGTCACTTTGTTTTGGGAGTCGTGTTGGCATCTTTAAAAATGTAATAAGTAGGGGCTGAGCTTTGGGAAAGATTGGGAGCTGAGTGGGGAAAAATGTAGTCCGATTGTCCTTCATATCAAGATTTCTCTTGGTAAAAATCTCCCATAGAGCATAGATAAGAGTGTATGAATGGCATAGTCTGAAAAGGCACTTACCTGCTTTTCCTAGACAAGCTCAAGATTATGAGGAGGATTTGGGGCTGAAGGAAAGTCATTGAGTAGAAATAAAAAGAAATTATAGGATTCCCAGTAGTATAGGCGGGTTTGTTCTCGACTCACAATCGGGAATTCCTGGTTCGAATCCTGGGCACGATAGAAATGGTTGGGTGCGTTTCTTAGCCCCTAATGCCCCAATTCACCTAGCAGCAAATATGTTCTCAGGAGTTAGTCAGTTTGTTGTGGGGTTGCATCCTGGAGAGGATTATTAGATGGATCTTCAGGAGACCTTGATATAAGCCTAGCATGTATTGTACTGACTGCAAAAGGAAAAAAAAAACTAGGTGAAAATATTATAAACAAGTTATTATCAATATCCATCATAAGTAGGGTTTAAGTAAAGATTTTGCTTGTTCTACAGAATGTCATATGGGGTCCAGTCCCATATAGTCCATTTGATGGGTTTACATTGTAATTGCATCCCTTTTGTGGGTGTGTGCTCATATCCATTATGAGCAGTAGGCAATCAGATACATTAACCATAGGCAATGACCTTACCTCAGCTGAGGGGTGTTTAATTGATGAAAAATGTGTAAGCATCAGTTGTTAGTAGTCGTGGCATGATGCTTCTCAAGCTCTCACAAGTCAAGCCTGGCCTCGGGCTGGGCTTGGGGAGTAGAACTACTCCCAGAACCCCCTCGAGCAGGTATCGAGCAGGTAAAATGACAAGTAGGGTGTGTCTGAGGCTAAATTAACTTGATCATCTACTTTTCGTGATAACAATTTTTTTGAATGTAAATAGTAAAGATATTAATTGTATTTTTAGGAGTAATTGTGCTCTTTTTGTGAATTACGTGGAGGATGTTGCTGAATGTTGTTTACTGTATTTGCCAGTGTATAAGATTTTTTATGTTTACTGTATTTGCCAGTGTATAAGATTTTTTATATGTTGTTTACTGTATTTGCCAGTGTATAAGATTTTTTATATGTTGTTTACTGTATTTGCCAGTGTATAAGTAGGCCTATTTTAGCCAATACCTTGTATGCTCATCGGCTCCCTAGCCACTTCCGGTGCTTGATTTCCCATCCATAATATGGCCACATTAGACACAGGGCAATTATGTGATACTTTTAAAACTGAAAAAAACACGTCTTATACACGTACGATATACGCATACTTAATAGACAAATCGAATTTGCATTTTTTTTTAAATAATAATTGCTCCTTAATATTGACAGCTTCTGTGCATCATTGTAAGTGATGAGAAGGATGTTGCTGCCTTTAAGGATTACCAACCTACTGAGGAGGAGTCTTCTGCTGCAGCAGCAGCAGCACCTCGACCCCCACCACCACCTGCAGCTGCCCCACCACCACCACCGCCAGTCCTACCACCTACCCAAGCTGCTGCTCCTGCTCCTCCTGCCCCAACTGCTGCAGCTGCTGCTCCAGGAAGTTTTGTTTTTGCATCTCCCTATGCTAAGAAGCTATCTAATGAACAAAATATTGATCTCTCGGTAAGTATACATATCCTGGGCCCCTCTTGCATTAATTGGAGATTCTTGCCGCATACCTAGAGGGGGTTTCTGGAGTTCTTCTACTCCCTGAGCCCGGTTTGGGTCCAAGCTAAGAAGCGATTCAAAAGTTGGGAAGTAATGTTGAAGGTTTTGTTTAGAGAATGGCTAGCAGATGATTTAATGAATTTGCTGGTATATAAGACACCTTTGCTTTAAAACACACACACCCGTATTTTAAATTTGTTTTGTTGCATTATTAATGTATTGAACGTGATTATGAATTGCAGCTACCCTTTTACCATGTTCTTTTGTGGAAACTACAACATCGAGCTTTAAATGAATGATATAACAATACAGGGTATGTTCTTTTCACTGACAAGTACAGTAAGGGTATTTGCTTTTGATTGTGACCATTGGTAGTTTGCCATTCATATAATGTAGCCTTTATACAAAATGATTTGCTCCTATCTTGCAGATCTCCAGGTAAACACATTTTGTTGTGATAGTTAAATACGTTACCCGAGTTGCTGGTGACTTGTTGCTCTAGAAAGAATATAGTTTTGCAAATGACTGGTGCGTTAAACCTTTGGCTTGATTTGAAGACGGGGAATATTTGTAATGGCACTATGAGGAAAACATTTTGTATAATAAGTTATGTTTTATTGTTTTGCTTGCTTTAGTTAAACTACAGTATTCTTGCATCATTTTAGTTACACTTTGGCATGAAAAATGTATTTATGCTGTGGATGGTGTACTTGTATGTTTGGAGATACATTCTTGTCTTATTCTGTTTTAAAGATTCTCAGAAACGGGATTCTTGATCTTGGTTATTCACCACCACATCTATCTTCACTCTTGCTTCCTCTCCCTTCCCCCCCCCACTCTTTCATCTTAATAGGGAAGAATTCCTAAAACCTGCAATTTCAAGAATACAAGGCCATAGAATTAAACTAAGTAAACAAAGCTTTCAAAGAAATATATGAAAATTCACTTTCTCAGAGTAGTAGACGGTTGGAACAAGTAAAGGGAGAAGGTGGTTGTGGTGGAGGTCGAAACCTTTGGTAGTTTCAAAGCGTTTTCTGACAGTGGTGGGAAGACGGGACACGACATGCATAGCTCTCATCCTACAACTACACTTGGATAATTACACACACTCATACCTTGCTTGCTCACACACTCAGCATTTCCTCCCATCTTCTTGTCCTTTATTTCTCCCTTTCTTTGTTCCTTCCTTCAATTTTACTTTAATGCATTGGGTTTGTTCTTATGGTTTATCAACTTTTGCATTCTCCATCTTCTCATAAAACAATAGATGCTTTTCATGATTGTTTTTTTTTCATGATGCCTCTTTCTAATTCTTTAATTCATAATTGTTCACATTCATACTACAATCATTCTCCTCTCCTGCTTATTTTCTTTTGACTTGTCCTATTCTCAATCTTGGCTTAACCAAAATCCTCATGATTTAAATCACACCTTCCATGTATTTGAACTCATTGAGCCTTTCTACCTCTTAATAATTGACAGGTCTAAAACAAAATCTAAATCCTAAAACAAAATTTTCTTCTCTTTCCATTACCATAATTATTATTGTCCACATTTAATCCTAAGTTTCCTCTCATACATTAATAAAATATTTAACTAGTCTAAATTTGTCTTGCATCAAGCCTGTAAACTAGATACAGACCTTTCTCTAAAACATTATATAACCTTGAACACGTGAACAATATTTCTATGAACACATCATGTGTGTTGATAGAAATATTTATTGAACAGGTGAGATAATGTCACACAGTTCTGGTTTTTGCCAGTTATGTCAAACCAAGCACTTGTTACAACATTAACCCTTTATCCATCCACTGTTTCCTACATGCAAAATTGTACACAGCATTTAACATAGTTTGAGCAGGTTTCATCCCTCTTTTTGGGGTCCTTTTCTATAAGGGGATATTATGTAAATTGACAGTGTTTACGTAACACCCTGCGAAATGTTTGTGTGACATGAAAAGTCTTTTGAGTGTATGGGCAGTGGAATTAAACCCACATTCTAGGTCACCACAGACACGTTCATTACCCATTGGCCCACGAAGGTATTCTCGGATGTAGAGTATCTTGCTATTGTGAATTTGTTGTGCATGTAATATTTGCACATTGCATGTTGAAACTTTTATGTGTTAACTGCAGACTAGTACAGCAGGTTGTTTTTGTTTAGTGAAGTAATGCTTGCTGAAATGGTTTTAAAGTTATAGAATAGATTGTTAAATTTAAATTAGTGCATCATCGATTTGGTGAACTATATAACACGCAGAACAATTGCATCTAGAGATATGGTGCAACCAGAGATGCCTACAGATGGCATTAGTGTAATGTAATTTTTTTTCCTGGAGAAAAAGACTAATATATTGCTCTACTGTAGAGTAATGAATCATTTCTATATACCTATTAAACAAAAGGTATATTATATCTTGCATGAATCCTCTATATTCACCATTTGTAATTATGATGCTGCTTTGTGTGCGGCTGGGTTACCTAGGATGTGAGAGAGAGACTGTTGACATAGAATTCCATCCCAACACCCACCTGAGTGAGGGATGGATGGAGGCTGTGTGAAAGCGGGAGGGAGAAAGGCAAATAATGCAGTGAGTAGTGTAGGAAGGTAATGAGTTGAAGAGGAAAACTGCACTGGCTCCATCCCAGTTAGTGCATTAGTGAGTTGGCAAGGAAGGGGGCGAGATGTGTTCATGAATGCATCTGCATGATGATCAATTGATGCAAGGTTTGTTACCCCCCTCTCGCTAACACTTTCTTAGCAAGTTATGTTATGAAGAGTTGGTGTGTGTGTGTGACCCTAAGGAGACCAAGTGGCACTAGGATAGCGTGTTTTGTGGGTGCTTGGTCATGCCTTAATTTACAATAGCCGGTTTAGAGCAGAAATAGAAATACACGTTTGCTATCGCTCCTTTTTGAGGTGGTTAAGTGGTGATGGTATGGTGCATTTGTTATGGAACAGACAATGGAATTTATGTGTTCATACTGAATACTATACAGTATTTGATTGTACTGTATTTAAAGCATGTTTGAGAACCATCTCGTTCATTTAGCGAGGCTTGCTGTACATCACATTATACATTTTTGGTCACTGATTTTGTCAGATGATACAATGCAATACTGTATTTACATTTGTTGTAGAATCATTTTGTAGTTTATTAGTTTGAAAGTTTTATGGGTAGGTCGGTAAAATGTGGCTCGCATCCTAAGGACATCCATGATGCATCATCTGCTTTGCCGAACATCTTTTGGCAAAGCATGCAAGTAAATTAGACCTGAAAAGTGTGTGTGTTGGCCCTGGAGATTCACCAAAGTGAGGATGGATTGCATTTGTGAATACTAGATCCTTTCTAATCTTGCCCCATTTTCTTGCTAACCACTCTCTTCCCTTTTCATGTAGGCAATAGCTCAAGTTTCTGGCATAGGTCACAGTGCTACCGATTGGCTCAGAGGCTCGGATGTTCAAAAATTTGCTTCACAAGTTGCTGCTGGACCACAGGCATGTATTTTTTGATTGACAGTATTATTAAAATGATAATTAGATACAATAGGGAATTGACAAAATTCATTGTCTATATGTGGGAGTATACCGGGTATATATTGCAGACAGTAGGGGAGTGGAAAATATAGGAAAGCAAATAATATGGTTAGACAGGAAGTGTTTATGGTTTAGGAACATAGTATTGGGGCTCACGAGGGGAATGCCAACAGGCTGCATTTGGCAAAAAGAATTAATATGCAAGTATGAGAGTGCGTTGGTATGTTAATCCATTGAATTGGCATAATAAAGTAAATAGTAATGAACATGGAAGCGGTTGATAAACGTGGACGTGATTGGTGTTGCTGAATGTACAGTTGGTTCCAAGTTTTGTTTATAATTTCTCTGACATAATGTTGTGTAGGTGCATGTTGGGCTTAGTGAAAGTCAAAAGGTAAGTGTATTTTCCGTGTTTGTTGTAATTGTTAGTGTGTGCCGGTGGATTTTAGCCAAGATGCTACAATGTGAATGATGCTATGCATAGACAATTTTTTTTGTGTTTAATGTATCTAACCTTTGTCTACAGTGTTGTTATTCTGCTTTTTTCATCTTGGCTGATGCCTCTCCACCTCATCAAAGTAGAGAACACGGGGAAATGTGGATTTACACATGCTTTAGTGTGTGTGTGTACATACATATGTATAGTATGTGTATATACCCCCCTTCCCCCAGACGATTTATGATGTTGATGGTCCTCTGGTTTTGAAAATTGCGCAAATGTTTACAGTATCCATATAATATTCACCTCTTGGTAGTTATTTTTGACCAATTCTATGTGCAGACTGGGTAAAGCTCCTTTACATTATCAGCTGTTGCATGCAAAATTTGTCATTTACTCTATACCACAAATGTTCTCTAGGACATGTAGGTCTGAAAAATATGGTAGTCATAGTTATAGATTTTATGCTCACTGCAATATAGTAGTCTTAAACTTTTAAGCCTTAAAACTGATGATCCAGGGTTCAATTACCAGTCAGGATAGTTGGGCTTGTATCCTTTCACCTGATGTGTCTGTTCACTTATCAGTAAATAAGTACCCGGGAATTAGGCAAACGTTGTAGGTTGTATCCTTGTGAAGGTCAATAGTTGATCTAGGGAAACCTCGATATGTATTTGCTAGGATGGGAAGAAAATAGAATGTATTTATATATTTACAGTAGATTAATACTTGAAACTCAAGGTTGATAGTTGTGCAAATTAAGTAAATTGTGTAAATGGGATAAATAAATGGATATTATGCTGATGATGTGTAAATATATTGCAGGAAAGCACATGTTGTAATGTATTGAGATAAATGGAAAATAGGAAATGTGTTGAGCACATTTAGAATATTTATAGTTCACTATTGCGCTGTATTTCAGGTTTCGGCTCCTGGTCCGACGCCTGTACCGGGCGCTACGTACACAGACTTGCCCATTTCCAATATCCGTAATGTTATAGCAAAGAGGCTGTGCTTGTCAAAGCAGGTAAGTTAAAGTATTTTATGATGTACAACAGAATGCTTTTATTAAGAGTGCAAATAGGGCACATTTTAGTGGAGGCACTGTAATAATTATGTATTTTTTTGCACCTACAGTACTGTAAGTGTTTTGACCAAGAATCTTCCGGCTTGCATTTGTGTACAGTAAAAGTGCACCACATCACGTTAGGTCATATAAAATGTGATGGTATTTCTTAAAAACATAAGGAAGCGCTGTTTTTGGCTATGAAGTGTGATTTCACATTGCATGTAGAAAGGAGTGATACATGCAATACATATTTTGTGATCACTACACAAGTTTGTTGGAAATAGCAGATATAAAGAGTTTAAAGTATAAAACATAAGTGCAGCAAATGTAATAACATGATTGAAAACAAATACCCCCAACCCCGACGTGAAATGACAATGGCAATTTTTTTTTTTATTCCATCCTGGATCCTTGTTAACTCATAATGGTTTAGGACCATTAAGAGTCCAGTATGGGTCAAAACATCACTTTCATTTTTTTTATACAGTAAACAAAGTGTCAAGGTTAATGTGAATAAATTTTGAGAGAACTGCTCTTGTTTGTGTAGTTTTAAATGAAATTAAAGTCTTAGGAGTGCTCAGTTACCCTTGCTTCAGTACCTGTTGGACAATCTTTTCATTAGTATATTTTGTTTAATTAGCAGGCAGTCGTGGGGGCACCATGCGGTGCAGTGGTTAACTTCATAGCATAAGAAGTTAGAAAACATTTTGCTCTAGTTCTAAATTCCAACATTAAAATGAAGAAGTCTGAACATGATTTACAGAGTTTAAAGTTGTCAAGTTTTTGTAATGAATCTGTGGATGACTGGCTGCCATTAGCGCTTGACATTGTCAAAAAATAGACCGATCATTTGGCGTTATGTGGCTGTAGGATTTGCATATTTGAGCATTAAGTTTATCCATAGTGTAGTTGGAATTAATGTTTTTTAGTGATGTACCTTCTTGGGTTTATTGTTCCTAACTCAAGTTCTGTTTAGAAATTCACCCCTGAACCTAACAGCATGTTATAGGTGAAAAAATATTGTCTAATCAATGTAATCTTTCTTTAACCAGAGTATCCCGCATTACTACCTTAGTATAGACGTGTGCATGGATGAGGTGTCACAGCTGCGGCAAGAATTTAATGAACTCTTGGCAAAAGAGGGTATTAAAATTTCCTTTAACGATTTCATCATCAAGGCATCTGCGCTGGCATGCAAGAAGATTCCAGAGGCAAACTCCTCATGGCTAGACACCGTAATCAGGCAGTATGTGAATTTATGTATTGTACAGTATTTAAATCTTTGTTTTCATATAATAAGTACAGTAGTTACATTTTCCCTTGCATCAAGGTGCAAGGGAGCAACCTTGGCAACCCTGCATTAGGGAGCCGAGCGGACAGCAGAATGGACTTCTGCTCCTGTGGTTCCGGGTTATATGCCAGGCGCCGGCGAGAAACAATGGGGAGAGTTTTATTCACCCTATGCCCCTGTTACCTAGCAGTAAAATAGGTACCTAGGTGTTAGTCAGCTGTCACGGGCTGCTTGCTGGGGGTGGAGGCCTGGTCAAGGACCGGGCCGTGGGGACACTAAAGCCCCGAAATCATCTGAAGATAACCTCACGATAAGGTATTTGTGAAAAAAAATAGATAAATGAAATGGGGTTAAAACACACATGGTAATTGGAGCACAGGAGGAAATCACAGATAGCAATTGGGGCAGTTTAGGAGTTTATTTCATCTGACCTAAAGGCAAACAAATCCCCAGGGGGCCAGACAAAGTGTTTGCCAGGGTGCTTAAAGAATGCAAAGAGGAGCTTTGTGAGCTGTTGTTTAACATATTGAATAAATCATAGTTAGGCTGGGTGCCAGGGTCATGCAAGGTTGCTAATGTGGTTCCAGTTTATCAGAAAGAAGTTAGATCACTTGCGTCAAACTATCGGTAAATTAGCTTAATGTCTGTGGCGGGAAAGTTGCATGAATCAATAACTGCGAATACCATTCATTTTCATTTTGAAAACATTGATTAATAAATAATTTACAAAGTGGTTTTACTAATAGCCGTTCATGTTTAACAAATTTGCTAGAATTTTATTCCAGATGAATGGACCTATTAAAGGGGATATTAATAGGGTATTAAAAGTATAAACACAAAATAGAATACAAAACAATGGGTATAAATTGGATACGTTTAGAATTAAGACAGAGTTGAGTAAATACTGGTTCGGTAACCGGATTGTTGATTTGTGGAATCAATTACCGCTTAACATAATAGAAGTAGGATCCCTTGATTGTTTAAAGCGTAGGTTAGACATACAGTATATAAATGAGATTGGTTGGATATAAATGAGGTGCCATATATGGACCAATAGGCCTACTGCAGTTAGCTTCAATCTTGTGTTCAACTGTGAAATATGCTGATTAATAGTATGACAAATATTTGTTGCATAAAGTTAGTCCGATTTTGCAATCCCCCATTTTATGTTGCTCCAACCAATATCTGCTTAAAGGTGGAACAGGAAACCTTCCCACCATCTTGTCCCTACAACCAGTAATGTTTTAATGTATATAGCACAACTTTCATGTTTGAGGGTTAGTGCATTTATGACAATGTATTTTCTTTATGCTAGAGTTGGTTGAATAGCTTTGATAGATACAATATGCATCTTCTGTCATTGACATTGGAAGGTATTGTAGCGTGTCATCTAGTGGCGCTGAAGCGTCATTGACACCATCCCCGGGAAGTGCCCTGAGCATGTGTAAATCTCGGTGTATTTTCATCTGTTTTTTTTGGGGGAAGGATTGGAGAAAGTTGGTAAGATATTATCAAGGTGTTATGGTTGTTTTACAAATATGGGTAATGGTTGTTTTAGAAATGTTGTTGTTACAAATATGGGTAATTTTTGTTTTTACAAATAATTTTGTTTTTGTGTCAGCTATAACAGTGTAGATGTGAGCGTAGCAGTAAGTACAGACCGTGGCCTCATCACTCCCATAGTGTTTAAAGCCGAACAAAAAGGTCTGGCTGCAATTGCCACAGATGTGAAGGCTCTCGCGGCAAAGGCTCGGGAAGGTAAACTGCAGCCACACGAGTTCCAGGTGTGTGATGAATTTTTTTATTCTGGATTACTAGAAATTGTTTCTACATATGCATTCCCTTATCTATCTACACATAACTTTATAGACAGTATAAGTAGCCTGTTAAGGTAGATAAATTTGCCTCTGGTCAGTAATGGAAATTCAGCTGTTATACACAGAGTAATGATAATAAAGTGATATATCAGAAAAAATCTATAGGAACCGCGATGAGGATCATTTTTGGTATTTTGTTACGGATTCAGCTCTATTTTTTCTGATGGTGTACAGTGTCTTCAAAATTTCCTCCTTTCTCTCTCAGGGTGGCACATTCTCCGTCTCCAATTTGGGCATGTTTGGTGTGAAGAACTTCAGTGCAATTATTAACCCTCCTCAATCGTGTATCCTGGCAGTTGGAGCCACTGAAAAGAGGCTTGTTGTTGATGAAGCATGTGAGCAAGGGTAAGATTAGTTGTGTTTTGTTGTGACTGGTTGGACATTGTGTCTGGAGTATTGATATCATATATATTGCTGCAAGAAAGCATTGCATAAAATAGTTACCTGCTATTTATAAGAGAAATGTAGGGAATGTATTTCATATAAATTTGTCACATTAGTGAATACTGGAGGCAGAGGAGTTGAAGGCTGTGTGTTTGATAATGTCATTTGGTGTAAGTATTTTGTTATAGATTGAGTGGATTTGAGTGCTAGGTGTTAATAATGTATGTCCAGCACAGTGTGGGCTACTTTGGGTTATAAGTGAAATATCTGGTACAGTATTTAGTTGAAATCTGATAATAAAGTAAACAAAAATGTTTTGTTAGAAAAATTGAAAATATCATAGTGATTGGAACACCCACTGCATAGGTTCCGAGTAGCGGAATGTAAAACGGGATCTGTGTATCGGAGGCTTTCTTGTCTACAAGAATCGAAGAGTGGTTGGCAAACTGCTTGGCTAGTATTTTCACTTATTGCTGTTGTTAGTTGTGTATATGTAACACGTTGTCGTTGTGAAGATAGTTTGTTTTATTTGTTGTACGTGATGGAGCCAGGCTATTTTCAGGTGACAATGTGTTCTGGAAAATAGATAACTATGTAAAGAAGCATAAAATGTTCAGTAATGAGATAATTGATGAAAAACACAGGGTTTGGTCATATGTAGTACTGTACAGTATTTGCATAGGTTAGATGAGGAATGATCTGAATGAAAGGAGTTTGAAAAATTGTAAAGTACTGTGTGTAGAACATCATTTGATGTAATTCACAACATGGGTCAATTATCATGTGTGTAGTGCAAAGGGCAGTGGCATGAGTAGTGTCGAGCCACCACAACAACTGAAAATGTTGTGTGTAATTTTTAGTCCAGTAGAAAATGGTGTATAGCAAAAGAATATAATATGACAGTGGCGGTGGTGGAGTGGTAAAGCACTGGGCCTGCACATGATGAGTGCTCTGGTCTGGGTTTGTGTTGCGGGTGGAGAGAATTGACTGGGTGACAGTTCGTAAGTGTAGCTTATGTTCATGCAGCAGTCAATGGGTACGGGTTGTTAAACAATTTTGGGGGTCATATTGTGGGGAAGAATAGTATTAAGGATCTGGCTGAAATGGTATGCATGATAGTGGCTTTACAAGAATGCAAGAAGTGTTGTACTGTATATACCTGTCTAAAAAAAAAAAAATTAGACAAGTTAGAATATCTGTATTTGAAGGGGAAAATTGTTGCTATTATTTACATAGCTGTATTTTAAAGTACGGAATTTTGGAAGATGCAATAACGAATCGCCATTAGTTTGTCGTGAAAAAGTAAATCTTAAATGTGTATTTTCAGATTCCGTGCTGCTCAGATCATGTCCGTGACCCTAAGTTGTGACCATCGTACAGTAGATGGTGCAGTTGGTGCTCAGTGGTTGGCAGCATTCAAGAAATATCTAGAAAAGCCATCAACTATGATACTGTAAAGTAATATATTGTCTTGGGAGTTAGAATAGTATTTATTTTTTAAACATGACAAGGTAGAAGAGGTGACACCTTATAGTTGTATATGCAGTATACTGCATGTCCCTGCAGGGGCTTCTATAGCTCTGCATTACCGTTGGTGATGCGTGGGGTTTGGTGTGTACACGACACTCGTTCATATACCCGTGGTGGTGTTGTACATTAAAAGGTCAGTTAGGAAGTTTTTGGAAAAGTGAATATTTGAAGATTGACCAAATGTAAATATAAATGTTAATTACTCCTTCACATGGTTAACTGTTTATTAAATTAATCACTTATTTTATCAATGGTAAATATTTTGTATAAATAATTGAATATGGTATATAAAAGTTAAATGTAGAGCACTTTTATTTATCCAAAAATGTTGTCAGATTTCCTTTACGTGTATTTGCAGAGCACAGCATAAAAGTGATCGGAGCCCAATTAGACTGATGTTCAGGTGACCTGTAGTATGGACAAGTTGTAAAACAATTGATAGGTACCCTTAAGAGAAACTTGTAATGTGCACATTGTACAAGAAAAGATGTAAATAATACCATTATACAATATACTTCAAATGGCTGGTGTATATTAACTAACAAACTAAGTACATAGTTGTTTGAAAGGCTGTGAATTTGCAGCGTGACTTTGTATTGTGGTTAGTTTGTAAGCTAATTAATAACTGAATTTAAGTTACATTCTCACAATATACTTGACCATTGTCACTACGTGAGAGTTTACAGTCAATGTCATCATCACGTGAGGCATTGGAAATTTGCAGGACTTGTCTACCTATCTGTATTGAATGAACCTTTTCATGTATATTATGGTGGTTCTTCAGTGTTACGTTGAATTTTGTATACTTGTTGACATATGCTTGTGAAGTTATGGAGCATTAAGACTAGGTGGTGTATAGTACTGTGTCAGGGGTCATTTACATCATTCAGAAGAAGCAAGTTTGGCTTTACTTCATTGGTGGCTGCCACTTTGTTCATTTGCATTTTTTGGTGAAGTATTGTACATTGTTTAATAGTTTTTCTGCAGGACAAGTTTCACTTTCAATCTTTGTGACATATACTGTGTAAATAGAAGCAAAATTAGTGTTTGTATCTACAGTAGATATATACACGAGATATAATGGGGAAACTTAGTTGAAAGTATTGAACTTTAAGTGAAGTGTAGGGCCAGCTTGGGCTTTGGGAGTAGAAGCACTCCGAATTCTGTTGAGGTACAGGCCAGGTACCCAGAACGTAATATTTACCATTTGTTCTCATGATTAAAAAAGACACAAGTGGTCACAATTCCCAGGCTTTCGTGTGGTATTTAAGATGAGGATGTCTGGAAAGGAAAATGTAAGATATTGTATATAAAAATATAATGTGCACAAAAAAAATGAAGTGTGCATGCTAGAGTTGAGTATTCAATTTCCTTAAATTTTGTAGTCCTCTATTTGAATAGTTTTGCAAAACAATCATAATAGATTTGTTGGTAAGAAGGGGCACCAATAATGTAGGTTGATGGGTAAGTATTGTGTGGTTATTATAATATTCTAAAATATTTAATGTTCAATAGCATATTCTAGAATATTGAATAATATTATAGAATATTATAATAAACTAGAATATTGAATAATATTATAGAATATTATAATAATCTAGAATATAATAATAATTTAGAATATTGAATAATATTCTAGAATATTATAATTTGACTCCTGAGCGTGATTTTTGAGCCGAATCCTGACTGCCCCTATTTTCATTGTCAAATTACGACTTTCCGGGGGGAGCCCCGTCGGCTCCCCGGAGCTTTACCAGTCTGATATGCTAATGTCAGACTTTGGCATCAGTCATGTTTATGGAGTTCTAGGGCCTACCGGGGACCACGGCCAGAACCTGGCCCCCTCAGAGAGGCAAGGGGAGCAATGGCCTATAGAAACCCCCGTGTGGTTGGAAGCGTTGTATGTCTGCCATCGACCGGGTCAAGCATCCAGAAAGGTAAGCATTCCAAAACAAACCCCTATTCTTGTGAAAATTGCTACGTAAAGCCGAACTAGTGGATAGAACTCGACAGAAAACAAGCAAATTAGTATGACGTCATACGTCACCGCGCCGCTGTCTGCGCAGCTCCCCCCTCCCCGGGAACTTCTACTCACACCAGGGACATGAACCCGGTGAGCTGGGAAGAACCATGAACCAGCTTGTGGGGGGGGGGTTGTAAAATAATTCCCAGAACCCCATCCAGGTACAATTATAATCCAGATACAGGGTCTGCACCACCCCCACCACTGAGAGAAGAGAATGACGAGAGAAACGGGAGTGCGAAGGCCTACAAGAAACCTGAAGAACAAGCCAAGCATGTGTTGAGGACCTCCAAGGAAGCGAGACTCTAAAACCCCAGAGAAGGTAATGACCGTGAAGCACAAGGGGATCACTACGAAGCACAAATTTCATGTGGCATTCCCCCTTTGAATATATTTCCTATGGAATTTCCTCTGTAATGCCTCGATATCACTCCTGAAATCTTGCTAACCTTCCTATTAGAATAGTTTCACTTCCTTTGATATCATTTGTAAGTCACATTCAAGCATATGAACAATTCAATGTTCAATACCATTCAAATAATTGGAGCCAATAAAATAAGTTTAAGCTAAAAGCGCCATTTCAAAGACGCATTGTACGTTAGCGAGAGAAAACCTTGTGTATCCTAGTAAGATCAAGCAACAATTTTGGCATAGATAGGACAGCTGCTGCACAAAGACCTATACCACTGAAGCCTGGAATAAAGCAAAATTTCACCAATGTTCGTTTGGGAGCTCTCTTTTGATAATTACTTCACCAATGGCCTTAGCCTACCTACACTTCCATGACTGTCTATTGTTGGATGCAATCGTTGTAACAAGCACATTAATCAATAGTTTTTCAGAAGTATTAGGTACACACAGGTACAGGCTGGACTCTTAACACATCTGACAATCCTCTTGCCTACCTGTTGATGATTCTAAGGATCATCGTAGACATCTTCAAGAGGAAGCTAGATTTATTCCTCTACCACAGCCCGGACCAACCGGGCTGTGGTGGGTATGTGGGGCTGCGGGCCGCTCCAAGCAACAGCCTAGTGGACCAAACTCTCACAAGTCAAGCCTGGCCTCTGGTCGGGTTTGGGGAGTAGAAGAACTCTTAGAGCCCCATCAAGCAGGTTAATGAACCAGATAAACTTTCCAGCGGTCTGGTCTCTGACCAGGCTTCCTGGTTGGTGGTCTGATCAATCGGGCTGTTTGATGCGGCTGTTCACAGCCTGATGTACGAATCAAAGCGTGGTTAATGAGGTGTCTTTTGAAGGTGCAAATAGAGTTCTCTTTGTTTAAACACTGCGAGAGGTCCTGCAACATCCCCCCCTTCCTCCTGTATGTGTAAGAGAAGCATGTTGAAAAGTCTTTGGCCTTTGATGTTGATGGTACTCTCTCAGCATGCCTACTGCACCTCTGTTTTTTCAGTGTGGCTATTTTGCACAACCTGCCATGCCTTCTGATCTCGTGTGGTGTTATTTGTGTGTGCGTGGTCTCGTGTGGTGTTATTTCTGTGTCCACATTTGGAATCAGTCCTAATATTGTCGAAGTGTAAATTATTATACCTTTCTCCCACCTAGGGAATACAGATTTAACATTTGTAAGTGGTCCCAATAATTCAGATGTTTTATTCAGTGGATTGTAGCAGTAAAAGAACTTTGCACACTCACCAGGTCAGCAATTTCTTTAGATTTGAATGGGGCTGTTGTGGAACAACATTGCTCTCTAGACAGCACTAATGTCTTAAAAAGTATCATCATGGGCATGGTATCTCTTGCGTGGAGGTTCTTGTTATTCAATGTCAGTTTTGTTGCATCTGTGAGGAGTAATTCCATCTATTATCATACTATCATGCAAGAGGAGCCACACATCTATGGTTCATCCAATAAAATCGGCAGACTTCTAGATGTTACTACTGCTCAGCTTAGACTCTGTTACAAGTATCTGTGTGAATTCTCATTATCTGCCGAATTCTCATTATCTATCTCATAGACTGACCTGACCAAATGTAAACTGTGTCAACAAAATTATTCGCACATCCTCCGTCACTATGTGATAATAGTGCGAAGAGGTACGTGAATTCAGCGATAAATCTATATCCAATGTTCCAAAGATATATAAATATTTCATTGAAAATGATCTGGTACCAGAAATTTTAGCCAAATATCCCCAGTTTGCTAACTGCAGGTAGTAACTGAGTGATTGTAACCTATCCACTACTGGCCACTGGATGGGGGGCGGTGTGCAGGAGAAACATATCACTTATGACAGTAGGTCTCCACATGTCAGTTGGTTAATTTAGAAAATGCACTTGTGGTGGATCTCGAAACCATTGGTAATGTGACGACGTACATTGAATTTTATATCTAACTCATCAAGACTGTAACTTGCTTAGCTAAAGGAATTGTGGGGTTCAGTCCCTGAGGCCATTATGTGCCTCTGTAACACTTTCCACTACCACCCACAAGATGGGCGGTAACGCATAAAGATGGGGTGCATAATAAATGAAATAAATAAAAGAAACAGTCAGTATGTTTATTGTGTTCTTTAAAAGGTCATTCGACGTCATTACTCGTAAAACTTTGACAATTGTGTTTTTGAATTGTGTGGTTAGACTGTTTTCAATGTTTCTATTGTGGATGTTTTAATGTGTTAGATAGCGCAGTATAGTATTTGGAACTTATCGTCATAAAATATTAGACTTTTATGTGTCCCATTGAAAGACTTGATTAACACTGGATTGGAAGTTTGCTATGTCCTCTATATTGTCTACTCATTGAAAATCTAGTGTCATCTGCAAAGGATGATACAGTACTAGAGTTTGTATGTTTGTTTATGTCTCGCATGAGGCTGAGGTAAAGATCCGGGGGCTAATAGATCAGCGTTACAATTTATGTTCTCACCTAATTATTAGTCAGAGTTGATTTGTATTTGAATTGAGGCTGGTGTTTTCTCCCCCGATTCCATTTATGAATAACCATCGTGTGAGATTGGAATACTAGATGAACTTATAGCTGTTTTTTTATCTACACTGTGTAATGTTTCCTAATGAATAGGATAGGAGCACATTGCTATGTCTAGCTTGTTAATGAACCAAACAGGAAGAGTACCGGAGCAAGCACGGTAGTGAGGTTTTGACGGCGGCGGATTAAAAATTTGCTATGATGACAACAGTATCATACTGTGGGTTCTGTTTGCTAGGAAATTGAAGATCCATCTCCCTACTTTGGCAGTAATTCCTTTGGTGTTCAATAATAGCATGATCGCATTTGCGTGTGCAATTAGTTGTACAGATCGGTGCCTGCAGTATTTTGTGTACCTCTACTCCATGTGGGGTGGTTAGCATTGAGATCACCTGTAACACTGATGGGGTGTCGTAATTGGTTAAGATAAAATTCCATTTCATTTGAGTTTATTGTGCCTCCAGGGTTGTATATATCCAGAAAGGATATGTGTGTACCATTGTAAGGTAGTAGGCATGCTAGAACTTCTAGTTTACCAATCACAAAATACGTTAGTGTTACAGGTTTACATGTCATATTACTTCGTGTTAGAAAGAAAATCCCCCCCCCCCCCCCATACGGTTGGGTCTGTCCAGTCTGTGCATTTGAAAGTTGTTATATATGGGAATTTGTTTGTGAGTGAGCCAGGAATCGGTGATGAATGCTAAGACCGGTTTGGATGAGTAGAGGAATTGTTTAAGGTCTGTGATGGATGTTTGAACGGTTTTTGCGTTCCAAGTCATGAATGTTATGGGAGTCATTTAGGATGTTTGGGTTGTGGATGTTGATGTTTTCTTGTGTGCGCCAATAGTGGTAAGTGTTGGATACCTAGATGTGGATGGTGGCTGTGTCTTACTCTTGGTACTGGTGGTTGGGGTTTGTGGCACATGAGCCTGGGGAGTGGTTTTGGTGAGGCGCGCTAAGGAGGTAATTAGGAGTTTTTCCATCATCTGATCAAGCAATGTGTGTCCAGGAATGGTAGCTTTATTTGGGCGGATGTCAGTGTCTGTAGCTGTTGATGGGGGGTCTGTTGGATCACCCTCAGGGGTGGGTTGTGTTACTTGGGCACGAAATTTAGTTAGAAGTCGGTCCAGGGTCTTTTCTAGTGCATTGCAAGAGTACGGGTTGGAATAAGATCATTTTCGATGGGAGTGACAAGAGTTAAAAAAAAATGAGGATTCAGTTGTGCATTACAAAGGTGATGGCGTTGGTACATTTGAAAGGTAATTAATGAAGTTTGAGTGTAGGATACTGTACTGTTGTGTCGTATAGTGTACTGTAGTGCATTGTACTGTAGTGGAGTGTACTGCACTGTACTGTTTTGTACTGCACTGTACCGTACTGTACTGTTTTTGACTGCACTGTACCGTACTGTACTGTATGATACTGTAGTGCACTGCATTATACTGTAGTATTGCGTACCATACTGTACTGTACGGTACTGGACTTTTGTGTACTATATAGTACTGTAGTGGAGTGCCCTGTACGGTTCTGTACTGCACTGTACTATACTATGCAATACTGTAGTGTACTGTACTGCACAATATGATACTGTACGGCAGTGTTTAGTAGAGTACAGTAGTGTATTGTAGCCTGTACTATACTGTAAGCTACTCTACGTAATTGTATTGTACTGTAATGTACTGTACTTTACGTTAGTGTTCTATATTGTACTGAAGTGTACCCCTGTAGTGTACTGTGTACAATACTGTATTTTACATGATTGTACTGTATTGTCCATGAGTGTAGTGTATAGGGTATTGTACCCTGTACTCAACTGTACTTTACAGTATTATACTGTACGGTACTGTAGTGTATTGTAGTGGACTGTAATGTATCCTGTACAGTACTGTACTCTATTATATTGTACTGTAGATTACTTTACTCTTCTGTATTATATTTTATTGTAGTGTAGGCTGTACCGTACATTAATGTAGTGTAGTGTATTGTACTGTACTGTACTCTTGACTGTACTGTAGGGTATTGTTCTGCACGGTACTGTACAATACTGTAGTGTACCCTGTATTGTAGTGTAGAGTATTGTACTGTAGTGTACGGTACTGTACTGTAGCGTACTGTACTGTAATGTAGGGTACTGTACTGTAGTCCACTTTACTGTACTATACGTTACTGTATTGTTCTCTATTGTACTGTGCCCTTGGCTGTTGTGTATCGTAGGTTAGTGTACTGTATTGTAATGTATAGTAGTGTACTGTATTTTACCGTAGGGAAGTGTACTGTAGTATACTGTAGTGTACTTACAGCTTGAATAAGTATTGTTAATATTTAATCCTTATAATAATAATATGAAATATATAAGTAATGAAAAGTGATAAATTTTGAGTGTAATGTAAAAACTTGTTTGTTATACATTGGGTATAGATTTGGGTGTATATATTTCATTTTGAATAACTAATTATCATTAATGACTGGAGTATCGAATTAGGTGGAGGCGACCAATGAGAGTACAGCTTGCGAGAATGTGACGTCAATTGAAAATGAGAAAGGTGATTGGCTGTTGAGTCGACGTGGTGGTTGAGGAGCAACGGAACGTTATTTTGACCCTAGTACTCGCGTAATAGTGGTGTACAAGTTAGTGTTAGGGCGTGTTGTTACTCTGAGCTGGTACCCCGTTACCCTTTGGGGTCGCTAGGGCTGACAGACCCCTAGCTTACACTCACTTTGTACACCGTCAAAACGCGAAAACCTAGGGTCAAAAATATATATATACTGCTTATATATACTCCCCTTGCGGGAGTATATATATACACGCTATTATTGTAGTGTAGAGTTTGTGATCAGTAGTGAAAGTTATAAATGTTAACTACGTCCTGAATGTTAATGTTTCAGAGCTGTGAAGATGAAGCATCGCGTAAAATGAGCCGATTGGTGAGGTAGGACTGTGCTGGAGACTAAGGTTGTCATGGGACTGGTGGTGGAGCGACGATTGAAGTCAGACCGTGGCGAGCAGGCGCTGGTGGCAGGTGTCCTGGTTGAAGTAGACGTGAAAGTTTTGGTTAGCAGATATGGAGGTATGAGTAAGTAGAAATCGTTATTTATTAACTTGCGTAGTTTAACAGTTTCGCGCTATCGGGACGCATCGTCGCGTCCCGTTTCGTCTAACGCTAACGCATAATGGACATAATTTTGTCCTCTTTTAAAATATTTGTATAAAATTCAATTTTTATCCGATTTACTTTGGGTTTGTTTCAAACTGCGCGCGATGAGGCTCTCACCACTAGGCTGCATGGTACAATAAGTTCATGAAAGGTGTGGATAACTTGGATCAAATGGTATTTTGTCCGAAAGGGGTTGGAGGTGGGTGACTTTAGCCGTTTATACTGGTAATGCTTCCCCCCTATCATGTATTATATGCATATGTCTGTTTAGGGAATTTGATTGCGATCAATATACAACCAAAAATAACTGCAACAAGTATAAACTTGACAAACATAACAAAATTTAAAACATTTCGTGTGTTCGACGCTCAGTGATATGTTCCAGCGTTGTTTTATGTTTGGCCCTATTCTAACTTAGGGTTTGGTGATATTTTTTACCTATGGGCACATAGAACATTCTATTGCGAACACATTGACACAAAAATGAATGACGTACATAGAAAAATGTCATGAGTGAAATAAGTATAAATTTTGAAAGCAGCGTGCGTCGTCCCGTCAGTAATAATTTCACCACTTCCCACTCTTGTGGGCGGGCCGCATCATTATTGTACGCTTATATTCATATCACCGTGTTGGGAATTTCATTGCGAGTCCATTGATACCAAAAATAACGGTGTAGAACAAGTGTGGAGGTGATTACAATCCCAAGAGTAAAAACATTTTGTTGCTGATGGGCGCTCACGGCGAGTCATTTATTAGTTATATATCTAAAAAAAAGATATAAAAAATAAGTTGTTACATTCTTGTACAGCCACTAGTACGCGTAACGTTTCGGGCAAGTCCCTGGAATACGATCCCCTGCCGCGAAGAATCGTTTTTTCATCCAAGTACACATTGTAGCCTCTGTTTAACGCAACAGTAAAGTTAATGAATTGCGCCCAGTAAATCCTCCCCGGCCAGGATACGAACCCATGACATAGCGCTCGCAGAACGCCAGGCGAGTGTCTTACCACTATACCACGGAGACTGTAATCTTCGTAGTTATTTATTTGGTGCTGGTATCCCTATAAGTTTCGTAAATTTTTTTTACTGATGTTCTTCTAGAGAAATTTATTGGGAACACGTTGGTACCAAAATGAAATACGTAGCATGAGAACTAAGGTCAGAAGAGTAAAGAGTATACACATTTTTGTTAGGCTTAAGCGATAAAAACGGAGCGCGCACATTCGGTTGGCTGAGTGACCTTTGCGGAGAGCGCGAAAGTGTATTAAGAGGCATGATAATATTGCATTAGGATACCCTAGTAATCCCTGAAATAGTAATTAAAGAAGGGCTAAGTTGTAAAAAGTAATATTTGACGACCACGTTAATAAATATGTAATCAGTGTAAAGTTGTTAATAGTATTAGAGCGTTGCGATGTACAGATCAGTTAACAGCTCCCAAGCTCGTTGACTAGCCAGGTGTGATGTATGGCTTGAAGTGTGATTTTTAAATGAGCAGCTAAATAACAGTAATTTGTTAGAGTAAATGAATTACCTAGAATTTAAAAGGTATGGTATAGGCATGATTGAAGCATTGAATGTTAGCATGGGGTAACTGGGTTTGTTGCAGGTAATACCGAGACAGATTTGCAGGCTGTTGTGGAAGCGCAAGTTAAGAGTATGACGTTTTGTTAATTTTGTTTGTGTGTGTGGTTTAAATATCACGTTGATGGGGGCCAAGAGTAGTTATCATAATGAATGTTGAGAACCGTACCTTACATAGGTGTTAAAGGCAGTAGTTAATAACGTACGCAGTCGTGGGTATTGAAGAGGCACCCACTAGATGTCGAGTTAATGAAATTTACATGATAGGGAGTGGAGGACTTGATTTACATTTTTCACCTCATTCGTAGTAAATGTAAAATAAGTGGTGAAGGCAATAGATAAGTGGCATGGAATAGATTAAGTGTGGGTTTGTGAAAAACGCATTTGGAGGGTGATTGTGAGAGGTTGACATTGATGTTGTGAAATAATGGATTTTGACGAGTAGTAGATGGCAATCAGGGCCCTCATCGCGAGTATTTTCATAAAGTGAGTCATTAAGTTGTGAATCTGCATTTTCTGTTAGTGTTGTGGGAATATCACGAATATTGAATAAGTTTGGAAATGGTTTGGGGTAGGTTCCCGCGTTGTCTTGAAAATCGTTAGTGTCCCCACCTCCCCGTATTTGGTTGAAAGGTGTACGTTTATTTGATATAATGTTGATAATGCTGAATACAAACATTCCTTATCAACATTCATATACTAAATGTACTTTCGCAGGTAAGATGCTTTTGTACGTTATACGTGGATAACATCGTGTGTAGGTACTTTAGGGACAGACCTGCAAGTGTTGACTGAAGTTGGGGTCTTCCAAACAAGGTAAGAAATAACGTTAAAATTTGTTTGAAATGTTTATTGTAGTGTGATGGTTAGTACATATGTGGTGTAATTATTGGAAAGTTTAGTATATGTAATGTAACATTATAATAAACAAAGGGGGGGGGGGAGTTGGGTAGAAGGCGAGGTTACTGTATTCCTAGAGGGGAGTATGGGTGTGTTGAATGAATGTGAAATCTATAGTTGATGTAGATATATTATGGGAGAAATGTTTACTGGTAAATTGAGTTTTAGGGATTCCCAAATTTGTTTACTTGTTATTGGCTACATTTGCGTATTTCAGAAATCAAATATATTTTTTTAAGTCATAGAAAGAATTAAGTTCATATAAATGTAAAGCAGACGTGAATGTAATTGATCATAAGAAGACATTTTGTTCAGCATGTATATATTTGTATTGATTTAGTGAAAAGATTGTATAAGTGATGTATTTGAGTAGATTGAAAAGTAAATGCGAACATTGCTGAAGGTAACGGATGTGTTGGTTTGAGGATGTGATTGTAAAGTTATTGCAAATTGAATAAGAACGTAATTGTTTCAGAATTGCGAGATTATGGTAATGATGGTTGCATGATAGAGGGAATGAGGGGCAGCGGACTTTGAGAAACAACGGAGGGCGAGGCGGCAGAAAGTGTTGAAGACGAGGATGACGCGACCCACACGGTGACTAAAGAAAGGACTTGAGATTGGCAGATAAGAAGACGGCACAAGAAAGAGAAGGGTATTCGTGAATCAAACTAGTGAAGATTTAATAATTAGAGTTGAAATAGCATTTTGTACCTGTAACGGGGAATTGTTTAGCGTTTCATTTAAAAATGAGATCATAATGTATTGGTATTGAGGGGTAAGACTGTGTGCGGTTTGTGGCCTTAATACTAAAATCCTGTCAGTGTTCCCATGATAGAGAGGGCAAAAAGTGTGGGTCGTGAAAGAATTGATGCATTAAGTTGTGCCAAAGTTGTGAAATGAATGTTATGGAAGGTGTAGAGTAAAGATATATTATTAGGTCGTGTTGTAAGTTACGTATTTGTAAATCGGAGGAAATGAGAATGCCTGTTTGTTGTTTTAACATTTATATAACGGTAGAAGTTTGTATTGTGCAATTGAATGGTGTTGTAAGGACGTCATTAGGAGATTTAGTGACAAGTGGAAATATGTACTATATAGGACAATGTAGTTTGAAATGTGAATAATTTAGTTTACGTGAAAAGATGAATAGAAAAGATGACGTAACGTAACCGTTAGTTGATTGAAGAATATCATGTTATTGGTTTAAAAAAGAAAATATTAACGTACAGGTATAATGATATTATTTGTAGAGGAAAAAATTGACATATGATTGAAATTAGATAATATAAAATGTTCCTATACTCAAGTTCTTAATGATTGGGTGATGGAAATGTATGAGCGGCATAGTTTCACTTATGATAGTGTTGATATGTAGTGGTTATAGTTTTTATTAAAATGTGGTTGCTGCAGTAATATATGGAGGATTGTCGTAGCCTATAAAAATAAATTTTTAGACACTACCTTACATATAAGAATGTAACATATATATAGGGCAGATGTAATGTAATTATGTTAAAGTTATGTAAAAGAACTTATGGTTAAATTGTAAGAAACCATTATATGGGAATCACACAAATGTTTATGGGTGTGATGAGGTTCATATTTGACTGAATCTGTTTTGTCGCGTTGATTATGGTTCCCGGCTTTCTAGCAGTTCGAAAAAGTTACGTAGTTTCTGTGAGAAATGCATTGTTAGTGTCATTGGGGGCGCATGGTATGCGAACTTGTTCAAATATGAGGTTTTGAGGGTAACAATGAATGATCATGTTTGTAAAAGGTATGAAACATTTGTGTTCCATCTTATAGTATTGAAGGTGCGTATGGTAATAGAGATGACTTGAATATTTATTGTTGGACGAAACAGAATGCTTTAACATGGGTATGATAGGTTGTCACATGCATGGCCTGTGATGACTGGTGTAGGTTGTAGGCGTGGCTAGCAGTGAATGTGTATTAGGTAATAAAATAGTATCATAATAAATGTTGTGATTTGTGTATCCCTGGGTGGGCGGCTGCCGGAGTGTGATGCTCCTTGGGACAGTCCTGTCCTTTTCTAGCCTTGTGCTCCTGCTGCCGTCCTCTCCAATTCTGCTGGGCATCTTTTCCTTTTCCTTCTGTTTCGTTTTTCTCCCCCCTCTTCTCCTATCTGCTTGCCGTTTCCTGCCGACCTTTTGCTCGTTCTGGTTCTTCCCTTGGACTTCTTCTATTTTGACGCCCGGGTGCTTGAGGAGGCATACTCTTGCACCCGTAGAACTGCAGTACCCGACGTCGAGAGCGAGGGGAACCTTTTATTGTCAATCCCCACTTCGTCACTGAACCCGATCTCGACGGACTGTCGGTTTCTTAAGGTGGCGTTTGTGGGGCGTATACTCACGACGCACCCCTAGGAGGCCCCGACAAGATCGGCGATAGCTTCTTGTTGGGTGTCCTGCCTCTAATTGTGGCTCCATGGTGGGTGTGGGGGCACATTCGTGAGTGAATTCTTCTTTCGTCAAGATGATTACCCCTGCTTCGGCTTCTTCTGGTTTACCTTCTCAGGCTCGTGGGGTGGGCGACCAAGCCCCCGAGTCGGTCCGTATTGGAAGACCGGGCTCTGTAGCCTCCGCTGCATTGGGCCCCGACCTTGCTCCTCCTTTGGCCTCTCTGACTCCTTCCCCTGGCTCCCCTCCCTCCTCTGTGGTTGGGTCGAGCCCCAAGCCCCCAGTGGTGACTACCTCGTCCCCTGGCGCGGCTCCTTCTCTCGTTGTTACTACTGCACCTTTTAACCCCTCTCTCTCTGGGGGTTCTCACCGCCGTTCTCGTCACGGCCGCCCTCGCTCGATTCCTTCCAGTTCTGCTACCTATCAAGCCTTGTTTGGTCCCGCTTCGTGGGCCAAATATTTTGATCTCCTCCCTCTTGATTCTGCGCCTCCTGACGATTTCTCCCTTCATCGACATCTCATTGATTCCGTGGATGCCTCCATTACTTTTAACCCCACTCGTCTCGGTACGCGTGTCGTTGCTGCTCCTTCTCAGGATGCTGCTTCCCGCTTGGCTGCCTTATCCTGCCTTGGCGAGACCCCCGTTCGGGTCTCGAAGAACGTCCAGTTGAATGCCAGTGTTGGCACTATTTTGCTCCCGCCCCATGTTGCGACCGGTGTTCGGGACCTACGCGACTGCCACGACGATATTCGACATATCCTCGCTGCCCAGGGCCATTCTATTCTCCAGGTGGACACGTTTACTCGTCCCCCTCGTGGTAGTCGCCGTCAACCCCTCCGGGTTGTGAAGATTACCTTTGATGGTAGGACCCTTCCACCCTCTGTCATTCTTGCTGGTGCCAGGTGCTCTGTCCAGGAGTACATTCCTTCTCCTCGGCTCTGCAACAAGTGCTGGAGGTTTGGGCATGGTGCCCTCCGCTGCTCCGGGACTGTCTCTCTCTGTCCTTTGTGTGGTGGCGAAGGTCACTCTAAGTCGGAGTGCGCTTCTCCCCAGGCTCGTTGCCTCAACTGCGGTGAGGCCCATCCTACCTTCTCCCGTGCGTGTGTCCATTACAAGCTTGAGGCAGCCGTCCTCAACTTGAAGCACCGGGAGCGTTTATCTTTTCCTGAGGCGAGGCGCCAGGTTCGCCGGCTCCCGCCTTATGCTAATATCTCTTATGCTCGCGTGTTGCGCTCTTCCTCTCCTCGTCCTTCCCGCCTTCCTCAGACTCACAACCGTTTCCAGGCCTTGGACCCTGATGCGCCCACTGCCCCCTCCTCTGTCCCTTTGGGTTCTCTCCCGAAGGATCCTCCTCCTGGTCCTCTGTCTGGGGTTCCCCTTCCTTCTACCCGGTCTGTCGTGTCTTCTGTGTCTCCTTCCTCGTCCCCCTCCGATCCTCCTTCCCATCCTCTTCCTCCATCTATCGGCTCTCCCCGCCGCCTGTCGGTGCGGGCGGATGTCCATCGCTCTCCTAACGGCCGTCGTGTGTGCTCTCGTTCGGCTTCTCCTGTTGAGACACTGGAATCCGTTGCCCGGTACGTAGTTGCTGGGACACCGGTCTCTTTAAGTCAGAAGCGTAAGCCTGGCTCCTCTCCTTCCTCTTCCCCGGCGGGTAAGAAGGCTTCGCTTTCTTCCTCAGCTCCTCCTTCTGGCTCTGTTGCTCCTTCCACTCCCGTTTCAGTGCTTGCGCCCCCTGTTCCTGCTATGGAGGTTTCTTTGGCCCCTGCTTCCCTTTCGGTTGCTGCTCTTGCTGGGGTGCTCTCCTCTCTTTCTACTCCCCCTCTTCCTGCTGCTGTCCTTGACTGCTCCTCTCCGTTGTCTCCTCCTCCTCCTCCTCCTCCTCCTCCGGACCCTGCCCGCCCACCTCTGATCTGTTCTCCCGTTTCCTTCCCTCCGTCTTTGCTCAGTTTACCCATGCCCCCTAACCCTGACTTTGCTGACCCTGATCCCGACCCTGATATTCTTTAACGTGCTCTGTTGGTCTTTCGCCTTTGTTTCTTCCTTGTTCTCTGTTTTTGTCCTTTCTCTTCTCGTCGTTGTCCATTCTTCAATGGAACGTTCGAGGTTATTACGCCAATTTCCTCGAACTCCAACTTCTGGTTTCGCGGTTTTCGCCCCTTTGTGTCTGTCTCCAGGAGCCGATGCTTGGTGCTCGTCCTGGTCGTTTTCGTGGCTATTCCTTTCTCTCCCCCCCCCCCCCAGCCATTGCTGGGGCTTCTAATTCTTCTGCTCTCTTGATTCGGGCTGATGTTCCCTTTGTTCCTTTACTTTTTCCTTCGCCTCTCCATTGTTCTGCTGCTCGTATCTTTGTGGGGAAATGGTACACAGTTTGTTCCATTTATCTCCCCCCGAGTGTCCCGCTCTCTCTTCCTGATTTGAAACACCTCCTAGACTCCTTGCCGGAGCCTGTGCTCCTGCTGGGTGACTTCAATTGTCGTCATTCTCTTTGGGGTGACGTTCTGACGAATACCCGGGGTCGCCTCCTTGAGCCGTTTCTCCTCTCTTCTTCCCTGTCTCTTCTGAATTCTGGTGAGCCCACTCATTTGGACTCTCGAACTCGCACCCTTTCTTGTCTTTATCTTTCTCTCTGCTCTTCTTCTCTTTACTTAGATTTCACATGGCAGGTTCTTGATGACCTCCATGGAAGTGATCATTTCCCCATCCTTGTTTCCTTTTTCTCTTTTCGCCCTTCCCTCTCTTTCCCTAGATGGCAGTTTGCTAAGGCGGACTGGACCCTGTTTTCCCTCAGTGCTACTCTCTCTGACCTCTCCCTTCTGCCCCTCTCTCGCGCTCTCCTCCTTTTTCATGACACTGTCTTCGACGCTGCCCTCCGCTCTATTCCTCGCTCTTCCTCTCGGGGTCCACGGAAGTGCGTTCCCTGGTGGAATGCGGACTGTGCTCGGGCTGTCCGCTGTAAGCGTGCAGCCTGGAAGAAGCACCGCCGTAGGCAGACGACCGATTCTTTTCTTTTCTTTCGGAAAGCGAGTGCGGTGGCCCGTAGGGCCATCCGTACGGCTAAACGTGAATGTTGGGCTTCTTATGTCTCGACAATTACGTCCGAAACCCCTCTGGCCCAGATCTGGAAGCGTATCCGCAAGATAGCGGGTAAGTTCGTTCCCGATGTTTCACCGGTCCTTCACCTCCATGATACTCTTGTGGCGGACCCGTTGCAGGTCGCTTCCGAACTGGGTTCCCACTTTTCTTCTGTTAGCTCTGGTCTTCATCTTCCCCAATCTTTCCTTCTTCGTAAACCTGTCCTTGAGTCTCGTCCTTTAGATTTCTGCACTCATCTTCAGCTTCCCTATAATGATCCCTTCTCTCTCTCTGAACTTCGTTCTGCCCTGGCCCTCTGCGGTTCTACGGCGGCGGGCTCCGATGGTATTCATTATGAGATGCTTCGCCATCTCCCTCCGAGCACGTCTCAGTATTTACTGAGTCTGTATAATCGGATCTGGGAGTCGTCGTCAGTCCCTGAGGACTGGCTCGATGCCGCTGTCCTCCCTGTTCGCAAACCAGGGTCTCTGGGTACTTCCCCTAAGGACTTTCGCCCTATTGCTCTCACAAGTTGTGTCTGCAAACTCTTTGAACGTATGGTTAACGTTCGTCTGATGTGGTTCCTGGAACACCATCACCTCCTCTCCCCTTCTCAATTTGGTTTCCGCAAGTGCCGCAGCACGACAGATGTCCTGGTGAACTTGGAGGTCTATATACGTACTGCTTTTGCTGCGAAGACCTCCGTTGTTGCCGTCCTTTTTGACCTAGAAAAGGCTTACGACACCACTTGGCGTTATCATATCCTATCTCAACTTCATTCTTTTGGCCTTCGTGGTCATCTCCCTCTCTTTCTCCGCAGCTTCCTCTCTCGTCGTTCCTTTCGGGAGCGCCTTGGTACCGCTCTCTCTCCCCCTTTTCAGCAATACGAAGGTGTGCCCCAGGGTAGTGTTCTGAGCACTACTCTTTTTCTGGTTGCCCTCAATGGTCTTCTTTCCTCTCTTCCTTCTGGTGTCTTCTCCGCTCTCTATGTCGATGATCTTACCCTTTGTTGTCAGGGTGATGATTCGCCTCTCCTTCAACGCCGGCTTCAACTTGCGATTGATGCCGTGTCGTCTTGGGCCACAGGTGATGGCTTCAAGTTCTCTACTTCTAAGACTTGTGCCATGACTTTTACGCGGAAACGGGTTGTTCTTCGTCCCTCTTTGTCACTTTATGGTCATCCCCTTGAATACAAAGATTCCGCGAAGCTTTTGGGGTTATTCCTTGACACTCGTTTGTCTTGGTCTCCCCATATCTCTTACCTCCGTGTTGAGTGCTCTAAGTCCCTTACCCTCCTTCGGGTCTTGTCCCATACTTCTTGGGGGGCAGATAGGCGCACTCTCCTTGCTTTACATTCCTCTCTCGTCCTGTCTAAGCTCGATTATGGTTGCCCTGCTTACTCGTCTGCTTCTCCTTCTACTCTTCGCCGTCTTGATGCTTTGCACCATACTGGGTTGCGCCTCAGTTCTGGTGCCTTTCGTTCGACTC